TGCATTATACTCCAAATAGTAATATAAACTTTCTAATGTGGCTCAAAAGTGATCGGAATCGGTTCTGTGTGATTCTGTAGTACAACTCTGGGGGAGAGTATTTATTCTTTGGCTGCTCTAACAGACATTAATTCTTGTTTTCAGCTCGGCTTGACTTCATTTGTTTGGCTTTTTTGGGAGACAAAAACTGGTTATTACTCTTTTCTTTTATATAGTATTTTCCCCCGTTCGCCTGAACTTCGTTTTCGGTTGCTGTTGCCGTTTTTTTCTTCATTTTTTTGTTTTTGTAATTTTTTTTTGTTTTGTTTTTGGGTAGGTGAGCGGTCTGTTGGTCGTGGTCCGTCCAAGTGTCCAAGTGGCGGTGGTGGCGGCGGTTTTGGCTTTTCGGCTCAGTGGCGTATGCAAAGGGGCAATTGGCCGGCACATTATGGCCAAGTTAAAGCAGCAGCTGCTATCCTCCAACTATGGTTATTGTGTGCAGCATATAAAAATCAAAATCTTAGTTTGGACCAAGTTGGCCAAGTTAGTATGTGTATGTGTTTGGCATCTAAGCCTGCAGCAGCAGCAGCAGCAGCAACAAGTAGGAAGTGGGCGCTTGGCCTAAGCTGGGCCCAGCCTACTGTGTGTTAGCCCGCATCAGCAACTAGCCCGGTCAGGCCCGACCAGGCCGGGCCAGGCCAGGCTAGGCCAGGCTAGTCAAGTTTTCGACTCCGAGTCCGACTTCGACTCCTTTGTTACATTTTGAGAGAGGTAAACGATCGTTAGAAAGGTTTTTATATGTGCTGCCTTCCACATCGGCAGACGTCCACAGATTTGTGCGCATGTCTTTTTATTGAAGCTGCAAAACTGATGCTGGAGAACTGTGGAGAGCTAGTAACTATCTTACTATGGTCATGTTACCAGTGCCTATCGTTTAAGATGCTTTTGGGCCGTTTCTTATACCCATTTATTGTTTGCTCTAATGGGTATAATAAAGATGTGCAAATGTTTGGGGTGAGAGGGGTCATCACGTAAAGTGTTCCTCATTATCTGATGGACTTCAATTATTTATTTAATGTTAAAAAAAAATAGTTTAAATAATAATAACCAAACCAAAATAACTTATGTAAAAGTAAAGTATCAATTTTTACTGCCAGGAATTTGGGACAAAATCAAAGCAAACCAACAAAAAGAAAGGCAAAGCCAAAAATTTGATTAGTGAATGCAAATTGTGGCCAAAATGTTAGCTACTAGCTAAAAGATAAGTCCATTAAATTGAAACTCGATTTGTGATTTATTTTTATTACATTTATTTATTATACTGGATGTTGCCAATAAATCGATAAAGCCTACATGCTGCCAATTAAAAATAACATCTTTATGCGTTGGACATTTTTCAAAGTCTGGAAATTAGACCAATTACGAAGGCAGTTTCGAATGAGTTTTTTAATGAATTTAAGTCTAAATGCATTTTATTTTGAAATCAGATGCAAGTACAGGGCATGCTTTAGCTGAGCACTCTCGACTAGAGCACTCTTACTTGCTTTTCGTATATATATATATATATATATAAATATATAAATGCAATTTTTTTGTTGTGCGCTCGATTTGTTTGTTTGTTGCTTTGTTTGCTTTAGCTGGCTGCAGTTGCAGTTGCAGTTGCATCCATTTTGGTGGCCCCCAATACTCTCGAGTGCGGACTTGGACTCGGGCAGGAGCTCTCCTTTCCAGCTAGCATTTGAAATGCTGTTAACCTCGTTTGAACTTTGCCATTTGTTTTTGAGCCATTAGATGGGCTCGCATCTCTCTTTGGGCAATTTAAATATATATACATATATATATATATATATATATATATATATATATATATATATATATTGTGTGTGTGTGTGTATTTTATATCTTCAAACAAAAGGAGTGTGCAACGTAATGTAATTTAATGTGAGTGAAACGCCGACGTGGACTGTTGGCTGTTGGCAGTTGGCAGTTGGGCAACGGCGCATTGACATTTACAAGATACAAAATCCAATTGCAATTTCCACCAGCTGAGATTATTGCATTCGCATGGGTCAGGCGACGATTTTTTATTTGGTTTTAGCTTTTGGTTTTTTTTTTGTGTTTTTTTTTTGGTTGTTTGCCTGTGTTTTGGTTGTGGGGCACTGGCGACAACCCACTCGCAGCACACACCTCGAATTTTTCGCAATGACAAGTAGCCGCAGACAGTGTATGTGTGTGATTTTTAATCTGAACTGGGCTGGGCTGCTGTGCAATGCAATTTTTTTTTATATTTATATTGGGTTAACTGATGAGGCCAAACTGTGGGAAGAGAAGTGAGCATTTGATTGGAACAATAAATATCGCCAGCGATTGAGAAATTCAATTGAGCGTACTTTTTTGAAGGTACTAATGAAGATAAAACAAAAGCAATTTAATTTCCAATTAATATAAGTTATATAACATTGTAGATAGTACTCTAACTCTTAAGTATATTATTATATAATCTATTTAATTTATTAAAAAAAAACAACGAAGTAATTAAATAAATTGATTATTTTTAGAAATTGTGTTCCGTATAAATACTTAAATATTATCTATAAAAATCAGATATCTGATATCAGAATTAAATAGTTTAAAAAGCACAAATATTTTAACAACATTAGTGCATTTTGTATTTCGGTATTTAAATGTATTTTAAAATTAGCTTTGACATTTTTTAATATATAATTTTACGTGTCATGCTTCTGAATTCTTATTTCAATTTTAAATTCCTATTTTAAAAATACTGTTGTCCATAATGTATTATTACTTCGAAAGAAATTCTTATTTGAAAAATCCCAATATCCCATTATTTCCCATTATATCAAAAACCGCTTAAAGTGTAAGGAATTGCCCAAACAAGTTTCGACACCCAAAAGAATTTCCAATTAGTTACTCGAGATGTACAAGTTAGTGAATCTCAAATAACCGGAAAGGGAAAAATCATTAAATATTTAATATTTCTATATTTTATACATTTTCTGCAAGCTTTCATTGACTGCGCAGAGCTGAAGACGATTTCCAAACTGTGTCACCTTGAAGAAGACACCAAAAAAATTAGGGACGTGCCCGCCAGCTAAGTACTTTGTATAATGGATGCGGATCTGGAGGAGACGCAAAAAAAATCGAATACGACTACTGAGTGATTTTTGAGCAACAGCTGCGTTGACGTCACAGAACCCTTCCCGACTCAAACTCGCCCTAAGTTTTTGGCAAAGCATTGAAAGAAAAAAAATAACGTAAAATCGCGTAAAGAGAAATGAGGAAACATATGTACAAGCATGCATACATACATACAAAGTACAGTACATTTGTATTTATGTATTAATCTGAATACAAACATAGGCATTTCGATATGTATGTGTATACATTTTGTATGTATATGTATGTCTGCATGTAGTGTAAACCTTTCCCAAGCATTTCACTACAATTCTTTAAGAAACCCACCCCGCTAACGATAGTTGAAAAGAAATAGCAACAACAACAATAGCAACAGCAGCAGTTAAAAGGTGCGCGCGTCGACCAGTAAGCAGCCGCCGACTTCGACGTTAACAAACGCGTCGTTGTCGAACGTCGACGTCAGCGTCAACGTCAACGTCTTTACCAACATCCAAGTTGAACGCGCTGTTGTAATTATTTTAATATAATTTTTTCACTGCGTCATCATTATTTTCTTTCGCTTTTGATATAATTCTTCTTTGTATCATTTGCACACGATTGCACACAAACACACATACACAACTCGAGAGCACAACCATACAAGTACTTGCATGTGTGTGTGCGTGTGTGTGGGCCGCTCTGCTCGTTTGTGTGTGTGTGTATAGAAAGAGTTCAATTACCACCACGTTGGTGCTGCCAACTCTATAAAATATACATATTAATACAAGACTAAAACCAAAACTAAAACTACGGTTACTTGCAGTTGCTTCACTTAATTTGCTTTAATAATTTCTGTAGTCTAGTCTAGTTGACAGGCGCAGTGTCTAAAAATTATTAAATTTGAAGTAAACAACAGCGCAATTTATGCTTCACGCGTTGGCAGCACCCCGATCAAGTTTCAAAGTGTTGGTGAGTTACGATCATTCGTTTGAAAAATGGCTCTCTTGCTCTCTGCCCGCGCTCTCTATCCGCTCATTGCTCGCAGTACATGTGTACGATTTTCCTCTGCTGCGCTGTGGCCGCAGAACGCCGATCGCTTCTCTGCACTATAGAGCGTGTCTATGGCTTAGGTTTGAGTTAGTCTTAAAAGAACGACGTTTGCGAGTGGTTGTTTTTAATTCTGGTGCATTTCTTTAGATCAAGCGGCGCAATCACGCCGAACGACTACAATTTTTCCCATAAAAGGAAAAAGTAAAAGAAAATAAAACTCCACGCCAGCAATCACAACACAAATTATAAACAAATAATTCTCAACTGTAAAAGAATTAACGTCAAAAGCGTGTTTTATCTATCGGTCGTTGCGCGGGTGTATGTGTGAGTGTGTATACGTGTATGGTTGTGTGAACATAATTAACTGTACACTGCCGAAATTTCAAACTAACCGCAAAAAAGTGTAGTGGAAAAATAGCCTGTTGATTTAATTGTCTCATATTCGTTCCTAGGGCGGCAGCCATTTTCGTCTGTCACAATTCAATGCAAAGCAAAATAAACTGAGCGTAAAACATTTAAACTAAAATAAATATAATTCGTAATAAATACAACGAAAGTCGTGCTTAGCGAGTACATACAAAATGTGTTATGTATGTGTGTGTGGCGTTGCCAGTTTCTGCAATTATGTTGAATTAATTGCCTCATATTCATTCCTAGGGAAGCCGCCATTTTCGTCTGCAAAGTAAAACAAACTGAGCGTAAAACATTTTCATATACGATTTTAAATACAAATAAATATACGTAAAAAATGCAACAGAAGTCGTGCTTAGAGAATACATACAAAATGTATATGTGTGTGTCTGTATGTGGCGTTGCCAGTTTCTGCAATTTTTTTTCAAATTGCCGTTGATTACACTGCGGCTGACACGCACACAGAGACAAAAAAAAATTCACACAGAGAGGCAGACACACAGACATATTTACCGAAATAATGGGCAGATATCTGTTGCCCGAGCGGATGCACGAGAAGCGTTTACAGTTGGATCAGTCTTCTGGCCCCGTCTAATTATAAATGATTTAATTTCAATAACAATTTAATAAAACTGAGTTTGCAAAACGAAATTGACAACAAGGGAGAGAGAGAGAGGGCAATGTTTTCTCATGCCTGAATAGTCGAGTTTTTTTTGCCCTCGTGCGTGCTCGCTCTTATGTGCGTGTGTGTATGTACGTATGTATGAATATGTACGTGTATGTAATTCGCCATACTTCTTCAATTCGAAGAGGCAGACATAAAGAGACCACAAAACAACAAGAACAAGAACGGCGACGACGATGAAGGCAAGGAATACTTGTGAAATAAAAGCAGCGACGTCGGCAGCAGCAGCTACAACAACAACAACCGCTGCTATCAACTTGAGCCATCAGCGCAGCCGTCGTCGTTACTCACCACCACACCTGCATGTACACTGACACTGCTGTTGCTCTGCGCGTGTGTAAGCTTTGCTTTTTACGTATGTATGTGTATCGGCATGTATTTAGAATGTGAGCGCTCCCTATATTTTTGCGTTTGCAAATAAGCGGTTCTTTCGTGGCGTTGCCACATTGCACAAAACTAGTTCACTTTTCAATTTCAACGATGCTTTTCGTTTAGGCGCGAAACACAGCGTATGTATGTACATAAGAAAAAAAAGACATGTGTGTTGTATGTGTATAGTTCATTTTGCTGCTGATAAGGCGGAATAGTAATGAAGAAAGGAAGCAAAGGAGAGGAGGAGAACACAGCTCCGCTTGTCGTTCGTCGTTATCAACACAACAACAGTTGGTTGTTTGTGTGTCGCCCTTGTTTTGTTTTTACTGTTCCAGTTCTCTTATTTTTATTTTGCACTATCGCTTAATTATTGAAATTAAAAAGCAAACCAAATTCCACAGTTCTGACTAAGTGGACGCCCCAAAAATAAAAAAAATAATGGTAAGACAAGAATAAGGGAAGTGATTTATGGATAACCGTATTACTGTTTTTAGTGGGTGAGGGTCCAGTGTTTCACATTGTTTATTTGTATTTGTGACTAGATCCACACTCATTAAAAACGGTAGTTCAATCAACAGTTATTGCATGACACGCTATGCACGTGTGGTGATTGCTTGGTGATATTTACAATGCGCTGTGTTGTTGGCATACAATACAGGGAATTTGTATCACATACAATACTGGGAATATAAAAAATTGATAACTGTAGTTCAATCAAGGGGAGGCGAAAATTGCACGTGTTCAATCTCAGTGTATTTACAATCTCGTTAAAATACTGGGAACTTGTAAGCGGAGAATTGAATGAATCAAGTTGTGTGAGCTATAAATATTTTTAAACGGAAGTTGTACAATGCTGGATTGCTACGAATGAGTTGTCGCCAAGTTAAATTTGGCGATTACTCTTAACGGAAACGACGTGTTCTTTTAAACTATCCACCTGTTTTTCCCCCCTCACTTTTTTTTGAGCAAGGTAATTAGTCAAGATGCCGCACTCGGATAGAATAAAGCCAGTCACACAGAACGCAGCTGTCACTGTGTGTGTGTTTGTGTGTAATTGAGGGAAGAAAAAGAAAAAGGATAGAGAAGCGAAAATGTTGTTCGTCTCTTTCTCAGGGATTTCTCTTCATTTTTTTTTGGTTTCTTAATATAATATAATAATTATACGCACTAAATTAACGCTAATGTGTATGATTTTGTGAACAACACAAAAAGAAAAACAAACAAAATTTTTTTCTCAGACAAAATGTTTAAAAATGAATTTTGTGCTGCGCTTGTCGCTGAAAGTGGAGGAAAACTAATTTGAATTTGAAGTGAGGGCAATTTTTTGAGTTTTAAGTGCTCTGCTTTTCGTCAATATGCAAAGCAGAGTTCAACAACACTTGCCTTGTGCTGCTCGCCAGCTGGGCTCAGATTTCTGTCGCCGTCTCTCTCTAACGAACTATAATAATAATTTGCTACCGGAACAAATTACTGTAAATTCCTAGAAGTTTATTTTCCTACTTCGTATATCGCTCTCCTATATATTTGTAAATGTATGTATTAAGTTGACAACTAGAGAGAGGGAGGCATTATTGAGTAAACAGCAATTTCCGTAGAATTCTGTGGCCTGAAAACTGTTTTTTTTTTGTGCAGATTGAGCAGAAATATAAACTGCAACGACGCCACGATTCTTAAACAATCAGTAAGGGTGAGGGGCGGTGCTGGGCGGGGGGCGTTGCAAAAATTATTGTATAAATCAGCAGAAAAGAAAAAAAGGCAGCGGCGGCGAGCCAAACAAAAAAGTACAAATAATAAACCTTAATTCGAAGCTTGATTCATTCATACACATACACAGACAAAAACGCACACAGACATGCAATATGTGTTCATACAAAATACGAGAGATCAAAATGGTAAATGGGAGGGGGGAAAGTCAATTGAGCTATGAAAACCGATCAAAACGACGGCACCAATTGAAATTGTTGCCAAGGCGCACGAGCAAAAAAAAAAAATGACATGAAATGATATCCGAAAAGTGACCGAAAACAAAAAAAAAAACTGAAAACCGAACCAAGCCCATCACTAGGCAACAAGCAGGAGAAGAAGAAGGAGAAGGCAACAACAGTCAAATGCCACAGAAAATCGTGCACTGGCAATAATCATTGCTTGCTGGCTCTGCAGGAAGGATGATGGTGGGATGAGTTGGAATAGGATACATATAATAAACAGATAGAGAGAGAGAGAGAGAAATGTTTGCTTGCTCTCTATCTCTCTGTCTCTCGCCCACTTTCTAGCTTCAACTGCAACTGCAACTGCTGCTCTTTTCTGACTCTATTTTGTCGGCGAACATGGATCTAGTGCACGGTTGTTCATGATTAAGTTCGTGACTAGATTTCATGCTCGTCTATTAAGTTGGGTCAACACACAACACAAAAAAAAAAGAGGAGAGCAAAGCAAAGCAGTGAGGGTGGGGTGGAGTGGGATGCACATCAACTGGACGAAAAACGCATTGACTTTTTTAATGTGAACGGACATTAAATTAATCGTACATGATTCGATCAAAAAAAGTATTAACTGACTGAGTATTAAACGTAAAGCGATGGAATGCAAATAGAAAGCGCGACATTTTAATGCTTATATATATTTGTATAAATATATTGATATAATAATAATAGCTGGCATATTTTGCAAACAATTTTCAAACTGGTAAAACATGAGTAGTCGCTACAAAAATTAATTTGCTTAAAAATATGTTGTTGGGTCATAATTTAATAACTTGAAGCTTAGACACTGCGAAAATTGTTGGTAAATATATACATAAATAAAAAAGAATATAAATAAAACATGTATATTTATTTATAACATTTCAAGAAGCTGATCAAAATAACATTAAATAGCTTTAAGTGCATAAAATAATACGAATTAAATAAATAAAATAAAATTATTTATTGCAATAATGTGTAGAATCACCAAATTCAATTCAAAGATATAAAAAAAAAAATTAATTTGTAGAGCTTAAAAAAATGTGTTTGGGAGCAATATAAGATAATAATAATTGTTTAAATTTAATAACTAAGGAAAATGCGTATAATGCATTTAAAATTATGATGATAATCTTCAGACAGATCGATTATTCGAAGGATCGACCAACTATAAATGAATAATAAATTAATGAATAAGCTTACAGTCTAAAATTTAAACTTCATATATAAAGCTTTCTAAATTGAAAACCCAATACATGTTAAATGTAATTCCCTTGAAACAACCCTCGCAATTAATTTTATATAGATACTGTAAAAATCAATTTCAATAGAAAATTGCATACAAATTTTTCCCAGCCCTTGGTCTACCCTTGTTGTGGGTGGAAGGAGGTCAGCATAAAAGAAACTACTGTATAAACAAAATTTTTGCCCTGAAGGGGGAGCGTTAATCATCAGCAATCAGTTATGTATGCATAGATGATTATATTACATGATTGACCCGTGACCCACATAATGACAAGCAAAGGCACACAAAAATACACACTCACCCGCAGCAAATATGAGAATAAAGTTATTGACCTTTTCAACACTGGCAGTTGCAGCAGCAGAAGTTGACCGCAAAAGCAGAAGCCAAACTGCGACAACAAACAAACGGGCAGACGACGACGATCGACTCATGCTGGCTGACACGCCCCCTTTTTGCCCGCATGCTGCTGCTGCTGCCTCTACTTGGCGGCATAGCCTGATTTGTGTGTGCGGCTGCTGCTTTATCTCTGCCTGCCTCTGCCTGTTTTATTTTATGGCCAGGCGACACGCGATTGAAAATCGAATCGTAACTCTGACAAAAAAAAAATACAAACACACGCTCCTAGCGTTGTAATCAATTTTTGTGGACACAGCAGCTTGTTGCCTTTATTCTATTGTCAGCGTGTGAAATTTGTCGAGGACCAGGCGAGGTGGAGCTGCGAGGGGGTTGTGCTGCGACTGCAGGCGTTTTGTTTTTGATAATTTTATTTATTTAATTTTATATTTTTGTTGTCTCGCATTCGCATGCGTCACAGCGAAAAATAACGGGTTTAATTTGTTTTGTTCTCTTTATTTCGTTTTAGGTGCTGCCAAGCGATAGAAAATAAGCAAGCGCGTCTAACTGTAACAGCTGCCATTTAAATTTCTCTACAAGCATAATTTCAGGCCATGTCGGTACCACTTTTTAACCCTCCTCTCGCATTTCCTTCTTTTCACGCTACTTGGATGAAAATGCCAACGCACTGCAATAAATAAGCAACATATTTTTGTTGTGTGTTTGGGTAATTTACATATTTTCAAAACGAGACTGCTGTCATTTGTAGGTACACACACACACACAGTGAGACACACATACAGAGCTGAAGTTTCAACCCCAGCGTGAAAGCCAAGCGCAGTGAATTGCAACGGCGCAAATTTCAACCTCGAACTTCGCTGTCGACGTCAACGTTGCCGTCGCCTGCTTTCCCATTTCCATTTCCTTCCATCCGCAATCCAGCGGCGAGAAGCCGTCAAACGCTGAAAACTAATTGATATAATAGTTAAAATAACAAACTAACGAGAAAGAAGTTGGCAGCAGCGGCAAGCGAAGCCGCAAAGATGTGAGGAGAAGGAAGAGGAGGTAGAGCAGAGGAGAAGGAGGAAGGAGATACACAAAGAAACGACGACTGCTGCTGCGTTGGCGAAGTGCAAAACCTTTCCAATTTGAAAATAGCTTTGTGCTGTTTGTTGTTGTTTGTGGGAACGAGCACACAACAACAACAACAACAAACGGCAACCAGTAGAACAACAAGCAAGCACTATGTGCCAAGGAGTATGATCGAGAGGGGAGATGAGAGAAGAATAGTTTGCCGCAAGCAAAAGATGACAATGCAGCGATTAAAGCAAAGCAGAACGCGTCGCAACTTGAACTTTGGTCAAGTCGTCTCTTCGACACTCTGCTGCTTCCAACGGCATCTGGAAAAATGCTTTTTCTCGTTCCAATGCGCGGCATTTCCGTTTGCCGGTGAGGATGCTGCACTTGCAGCATGCAGTTGAAGTTGTATTATTAAATCAAAAATAAAATATGTGTGCAATTTATATAAGCATTTGTCTGTCTATGATTTGTAACAGAGGAAATAGCTTTAACATGGATATGCATCTGCCCACAGGGCACAAGTTGCACTTATTAATGGCAGATGTGTGAGGCTTGCGCTATTGCAACTGCCACAAAGTTTGTGGCAAAATTAAATGCGAGAAAAATCGCGACTGTCGATTACAAGATCGATTAAATGATAGTGCGGTAAAACGGCTGCCGACGGCGCTTTACAGCACTGCGTATATTCGATAGACACGTCGATTACACCACACTCGATTAACATATCGATAGGCAAACTTAAATGCGCAGTTGCGCGCGCACCTAACAGATTTTGAAAAAAAAAATGCAATAATTATGTATTTAGAGCAACGATTAAGAAATTTGTGAAAAGTGCGCGTGTGTATATAATTAATGTAGGCTATTAAACAACATAGTTATTAGTGTGTTATTGTTGCAAGTTCGTTCGTGTTCACCTTAAGTTGAGTTTCTGCTTCAAAGTGGTATTTATGTTTTTTAAATTTGCTGTTTGCCACTTTTCCTCTCTCTCACACACACACTCACACACACGTAAGATGCAAGCAGACGTAACAAAGGCGTTTTGCAGGCAAAAAAACAAATAAATTACATGTGCAATGGCGAACAGGTAAACAATATAAATGCATACATCTGTGTGTGTGTGCGTTTATGTAGTTATGTGTGTGATTATTGTGTGTGCGTATGTATGAATGTCTATATTTACATCATGGCCATAAGCTGGCCGAACATTTTATAATGCCAATTTTGTTTTGACTGACTTGCAACGAGTTTTGTGGACCACCCACCCCTGGAAAACCCACAGTGGATCCTCGATAATTTGACTTTGAATATCCACTGTTAACACTAAAAATATTATTTCAGAACACGTTATGAGAAACTGTTAAAACGTTTATATTTTTGTGGTTGCACACGCTGTTAAAATTGAGACGTTTGCATTAAGCATGTTTTTTGACTATTGAACAAAAAAAAGTGAGAAATTCTTAATAATTTTGTACACAATGCTGTTAAAAATTAGTCTTTTGTTTAAGAAACAATGCGGGAAATATGTTGAAAAATTAAATCAATTATATAAATTCTAATAAAAAATGTTGGACAGATTATTAACTTTTTCTTATTATATTTTAACTAATTAAAAATTGTTAGACGAAGTTAAATATAATGCAAATAAATTTTACAAATATTTAAATCTATTTATATGTTAAAGGGTAAATATATATGTTCAAAATGATTAACAATTGCTTATAATTGCTACTAATATATAAATATTTCTTTATTAATTAATTATTTACAATTTCCCTTAAATTCGGAAAAAAAAATGTTAATAAATAATAAATATGATAATTTCCAAAGATGTCTGAGTGCTTTCAATTGTATAAATTGTATAATTTCCCTCCATGGAGTGAGCACTGTACTCTTGTTTGGTAACTGAAAACCCTAAATAATGGCCATGAACTGGAACTTGGAGGCTGCGAACCTTTGCCTTTAAATTTGCCGCTGTTGTATGTTTTTTTTTGTATGTTTTCTTTGTGTTTTTGGCACTCTTGGTCTGGTTGGGCTACACACAATGTGGGTTACGGTTACTGACCCACCTAACGGCTACGTATTTGTGCCACTGTCAGTTTATTTTTGTCTGTGTGCTGTGCTGTGTTGTGCTGTGCTTATGGCTTAATGCGTTTACTTTTCGCCACCAAATCCGTCGACGTTGTCCGCGGCTGCCTTCGGTGCTGGCCATTGTTATTATTGCTATTAACACGATTTTCAAAAATTTATGCTACAATTTCTTATTGTTGTTGCTGCTGGGAGTACTTGGCGCCGTTGAGCAGCTGGTGGCCAACTAGCCAAATAGCAACTACCGCATTTCGCTTGCGCACCAGTTTCAATATCTGATTGCCGCTCGACTCATGCGGATCGCTTGTTTACCTGCCTGTTTACAAACATTTTGATTGAGTCAACAAATGAGGGGCATAATTGAGGCACGTCTACTGCTGCTATTAATCTTATTCACCGTGCAGTCTACGGCGGACATGGTCGTCAACGACATTTGGAACGCCTTCAGAGCTGTTAGCAATGATACGTCGCTCCTCGCCCACATCATACCGGAATGTACGGATCGAGCATGTCCAATCCGAATCCCACCTTCGTCTTCAGAATGCCAGCACCGAATCAACGCAACAAATTTGAGTTGCTGAAAATGCAACGTTCCGATTTTGGGGAACCCAATTTTCCCAATATTACCACGAAGCCCATTAGGATTGTGGACGTTTCAGCGGAGAAGGAGACCCATGTCAAGTCGAGCTTATCGGAATGGCAGCAACTGGGCTTGCAGGGCTGGTCGGGTGAACTGAAGCCACCGGTGCAGTGGCTGGAGGAGTCACACAAGTGAGTAAGCGTAGCACTCAGGGATGGGATCTTGTCAAGGTCCACAACCAATTCTAGACCATTTTACAAATCTCCCACAGGGATACAACGCCAAAGCCGCCCAATTGGCAGTTGGGGGCTTATCCACAGGATGAGATACTCTTGGATTTGCAGAGCTACCAGCTGAATGGACGTGTGACGGACATACGTGTGATGCCATCCAATCAGTTGGAGGCGCAACGGGAGGATCTGATGAATGAACAGAACGTGTATTTAGCGAGAGCGAACGATCCCTTTGGCTACTCGATGAAGTGGGCTTTCAGCAATGACACCGACCAGCTCAAGGATCGGGGCAAGCGAGATGTGGCCAAGCTCTACTCGATGATCAAGTGCTCCACGAACTGTGATCCGCTGATCTACAAAGGATACGGCTGCTATTGTGGGTTTGGGGGACATGGTGTGCCCAACGATGGCATCGATCGCTGTTGCCGTCTGCACGACAAGTGCTACGGTCAGAGCAACTGCATCTCCTACCTCGAATACTTTGTCCCATACGTGTGGAAGTGCTATCGTGGCAAACCGCTCTGTGCCATCGATCATGGCGAGTGGGGCGCCCCCGATTCCTGTGCGGCTCGTCTCTGCCAGTGTGACTTGCGTCTCTCCCGCTGCCTCCGCAACTTCCACTGTCCAAGTCGACGGGCTGTGTGCCGCTCCTCCAGATCCAGACGCTTCCAAAATTTAATATTCTTTGATTAACGTGTGTTGTGAGCTGCGTAAATATCTCTCGCAGGTAAAATAAATCAAATCCTGCAAGATTCAATTGTTTTTCATATTGTTGATGTCAGTTAAAAACTTTTCAATTAAATTGATTAGTAAAATAATATTTAATGATCGATGTTAAATAATATTAAAATACCAGAGTCATTTTCTTAGAGTACCTAGATTTGATCCCTCAATGCAGATGAATCAATTTATTTGCCAGTCTTCCTCTAATATGATAAGTCTGCTAAAAGATAAATCTTGATTTGTATTCCCGTAATAATTCCTTATTGTTAAAGTTTACGTGATTTTAAAAACTGTCTCAAAAAAAGATTATTATTTTTTTGTTTTTTTTTTTTTAAAGAGATTTTTGTGACGGATTTGCAATTTTATTTTCGTTGTTGGTTGCAAGTAGCAAGTGTGAAAAGCTTATTCTTATTTTAGGCTAAGACACATTGATACATTTTTGATTATTAAATTAGAAAACGATGAAAATGTAATTGTCGCTGCCATAGGAGCATATTAAGCAAAAAACAACCAAATGGAGTAAGTTGTAAGTGGTCAAGATAGACATTGAAAGACTGTAGAAAGAAGGATCAGAAGTTATAACCGGAAAATGGAATCAGTTGGAATCCTCAAGTGTCGTCTCAATTGCTGCTTGTTGCTTGCTGCTTGCTGTGTGTGTTAGTCTAATGATGCCTTTGGCTCTTGCGCGAACCACTGCGCGCCTTGTTGCCAGCCGGAGTGCGTTCCTTCTCCACCTTGTGGGCGACAGTGATGCTGTGCGGAGCAGTGTTATCCGTTGGAGCAGTGGCTGCAAACTCCTTGATCGCACGGCATTCCTGCATGAAGCGTCGCACGGTTTTACGCTGTGCGCTTTGTGGCTTGTAGATGAGCAACAGATTGTGGCACATGAGCAGCACATCGCGCTGCAGTTCGGAGATGCTGCGCAAATGGCCCGAATCGATGTTGCGCTTGATCGTTGGCAGATCCATGGGACGCAGGCACAGATCCGCGGATTTGTGAGGATGTTCGTCGTGGAAGGCGCGTCGAAAGTATGTCGCATTTTTGCTCTCCAGCAGCGTTGCATAGATGCTGAGGAAGAGCTTCTTGGAGGCGCCACGCGTCTCACGTCGATCATCCGTGTGATCACTGGACGCTGGTGAGTTCGGTATGCTATCGATGAGTGGCGTCGAGGAGCAGCGGCGTCTTGAGCTCGACTTTGTCGTCGAATGATCGCTGGTCGTTGTGGCATCATCATCCACCATTGGACTCTCCGAGCGATCGCGATGCGGCAACTTGCGCAACATTGGCGCACGTGTCGGCACAGGAGCGGGTGCCGGTGTGGGTGTGGATACAGGAACGGGTGCGGGTGCAGGCGCAGTTGGGGTTGCTGCTGCTGGTGTCACCGTTATGCTTGCAGCCCTCGGCGGAGTCTGTCGCGTTTCTGTTTCCAACTTGTGTTCGGCTGGTTGCTTGGCTTTGTGACTGCGTGTGGCGGGCTCATCCGGTTTGCTGCTGTTGTCCGTCTGCGTGGAGGACTCCTCATCGGTATCATGCACGGAACTGGCTGCCGTTGCAGGCGTAGGCGTTTTTGCATCGGCTGGTGGTTTGTCTGTTGCCTCCGGGGTGCGGGATTTGTTTGTGTCTTCTTTGGGTGCTGCAAATGAGTGGATAAAGAATTAGAAAATATACATAAGGAGACTGATGGAAGGAGACATATGTGCAGTAGTTGATAAAGCCTACAGTTGTCATTGCAACTATCTCCTGACCAATGCATCTATCATACGGCTCCAATAGAAATGTCATCTATAAGAGACCAGGCAGACTCCGGTTCCTCTTGTTTTTGTTATTATTATTATTCTTGCCCGACTTATCTATTGTCTCCCTTCTACATCTTTTCCCTAGCTTAGATAGCTGACTTCTTAGTCTGCAATGTGCAGTCAGGAGACCGATAAGTATCCCAAGTCTGTTCTTTCCCATGGCTATTAATTGCTTAAATCGTTTGTGATTATCGCCGCCCAAACGACATTTGCCTTGACTGAGATCTGGTGCCTCTGTCCATTCGGAATTTACCTTCGTTGTTGGGCTCGACTTTCTCGACTTTAGCGTCTGCCGTCTGCGTTTGTGCTGTTTCCGCCGTTTCCTTAGTGCTGGTCTCTGGGGTTGTAGTTTCTTTAGCTACTGCCACCGCATCTTTGCCAGCTGTTGTTTCATCAGTCGAAGCAGTTGCTTCGCGATTATTCTCTTCACTGGAACTGCTGGCAATGGTGATTGTCTCGTTGAGTTCCTCGGCAGCAGCTTCATCGTCCACAGACTGCTGGCTGCGTTCCTTGCTGCTCTCCTGCGAAGCAACTGCTGCCAGGGGTATGTTGTCATTGGAATCATCGCTGGATCCAATGACCACCTCGACCGGCTTCGGCAACGATGGCGATTTGCGATCGTCAACGTTTTCGTCGCGCACTTTTAGCGCATCGAGCTTGTCCTCAAAGTCGACGTCGGATTTGGCTGGCGCATCTGTTGCTGCTGCTGCTGTTGCTGGTGAGACAACGTTGTCCACATCTTTGAGTATGTCCTCATCGATGACACCTTCCATAATATCGCTGAGTGCCTCGAGCAGCTGCTTCTCCTCCACTTCCCATTCGTCCGCAACGGCATCCTCTGCAGCAGCTGCATCCGTCGATTCTTTATCAGCCGCAGGTTGCTTTTGACTAGGCGTTGCTTCAGCATCCGTCGATTTAACAGTGGTTGTTGTCTCATTTGCTTTGGCTGCCGTCGACGCTTTGTTCTTCTCCAGCAGCATCGAAAGCGTTGGTGCTGCCTGTGAGGGACTGCTACGGGTTATGGCCACCTCGGCAACAGGTGGTCCACTGATAGGCCGCGTCATAAACTCTGGGTCATTGGGACTCTTTAAAATAACCGCTGGCTGATTGGGTATAGCGCCGGCGCCGCTTGTCAGCAGCGATGTTATTGTTGGCGCCGCTGCTGTTGCGCGTGCCACGCTTCCAGTGCCAGCTCCAGCTAAAGTTGGAGTCGGAGTTGTAGTTGTAGGAGTGCCAGCTGTGGTTGAGGTGCTGGTGGTGGCAGCATTGTTGCCTCCTCCACCTGACGTTATCAGCAGCGATGTCAGCAAAGGCGCCGGTACCGATTGCTGTTTGGCATTGCCAGCAGCTGGAATGATGCCTGATAAAAATGGTTGAAATGTATTTTTATATATTTTAGATTTATAACAATGATTATACCAATATCCTCCACATCCATATCGACGGCCGTGGTGTCTGCCGTCATATTGGAGCGTCTGGAGCCACTGTTGCTGCGCCAGTTGCTTGGAGCATCTTTCTTGCGCTGCTCCCGCTCTCTCATTCGATTCTCCAGCTTCATTTCATCGATGCGCTTCGTTTCCTGCTCCTTCTCGATTTCATGCCACATTTGCTGCAGCTGCTCCTCTGTCGTTTCATCCGATTGCAGCGCCTCAATCTCACGCTGCATCTTGCAATAGAGTTCCTGATCGCGTCGCATCTGTGCCTTAATCTCCACAAGTCGCTCCTCGGTCAAGCGGCGCAACAGCAACTCTGTGGGCGTCTCAACGGCCACAGTTGCCGGCGAGGAGAAGCCGCTGTTTTCGTTGGTGCGCTTCTTGCGCTTCGTCGTCTCCACCGTCTCCAGCAGGTGGCCATATTGGACGGCACAGTTCTTCTGCGAATACCAATCCGACGGACGAGTGTTTCCATTGTTGCCGCACACCGATTTCAGGGTGCGACTGACCGTTATCCAATTCTGATCGCCACTGCACGAAACGGCCGAGGCCAAACAGAGTTGTTCGCGTTTCGACCACGCATCGAGCGGAATGCGGCTCATTTGAGTATATTGTATATTGTTTTTTGTCTAATTGCCGCAAAACATTTATTTCGCCACTGTTAGAGATGTGCAAATTGACAAGTACTCGTTATTAAGTCACTGTTACAAATATTTGCAGCTCACTTAGAGGTGAGCAGCTGTTAAGGTACTCGTTACTAAGTCGTCGTTACAAATATCGCCAATAATTATTGGCTTATGTTGTTTGTCATATAAATAAATTGTGTAAAAATGAGGCAATTTCTACCAACTTGAAAGTTTATAATTACATTTTGATTTCAGTAACAGTGAAATTTGCACAACTATTTTTTTGTTGTTGAGGTCATCGTTACAAAGTCGCCGTTACAAATATTTACTGCAGGCCGCTAATTATTAGCTTGTGTTGTTTGACAAATGAATAAATTGTGTAAATTTGCATGTTTATTATTACATATTGATTTCAGTACCATTGAAATTTTTAGCGAAATTGAAAAGCACTGTAAATACGGCATTGTATGGCTTAGTATTTTATGGTAAGAATTAGAGCATTCTTGCTTGCAAGCTGTGGTCCCACTGTTCCCCAACCAACAACAATGAAAACAACCAGTTTACAGACGTTTTGTGTACTGCATTTCGTTTCAATTGATTAAAAGAAAAGCCTGCAAAGAGAAAAAATTAAAAAATGGAACCAATATCGCACTTAGTAAAATCAAGCTTGCCAAACTATTTATCCAGCTTGCCGGTGCCCGACAGTTTAGGCGGCTGGTTTAAATTGTCATGTAAGTCGTCCATTGAACTTGAGGGCGCCCCAAATAAATTTTTCCGACTTGATTATTTTATAATGTAAACGTAGACATCAAGTGGCATACGTTAAAGTGTTAAAATATTTTGTGCTTATGTGGCGATTGGGTTTAGGTTGTGCAAACATTATTTGTGCAATGTTTTCAGTCGTATCTGCAGTGCGTTCAGCTAAGCTGACTTATTATGCAACATTTGCTGTCAAACTCGCGCCATTGCTACAAAAACTATTTGTCGAACTTTTGATAATTAAAAAGCTCACGATTCGGTTTGGGTTTATCTGGCCAGTTGAGATAAACAAACAGTGGGCAATTTGATAAGTGAAAGTTATGCACAGTTGGACTTTTAATTATGTCTGCTCGACCTTGTGCCGGTTACAGTTCATTTCCAATTTAGATCGGCGATCTTCTTAAAATATACCTTCACCACATATATACCGGTTTCGCACGGGCCCAATATTGTCCGCGCGCCATGTGCCAATCTTACAATCTTATTAAACTCAAAATTGTGTGACTTGTCTTTAAGAAAACTTTGAAAATGATTGGATAGTAAAGGTGTTTCTACATTTTCCGAGCCACCATTTTAATATATACAAATTGCAGCTGCGAATTATTTTGATCTATTCCCATTGCAGTCAAGGATTGGTTGGCGCTCATTCCACCCACTGCTGTTCTTGCCGGCTTGGGGTATACCGCCTACCTGGCCTTCTGTCCCGCTGCCCAGTGCAGCGCGAAGAGCGCTCGCTGCAATAATCATATACGCAAACACGAGGCCAAAGTTGTCGACATGATCGATGTGGAGGACATTGCAGAGAAGGCCGCCTTCTGTCGCTGCTGGAAGACCAAGAATGTAAGCAGGAATTATAATTAACTCCAAGCCCAAATTGAACTTTTTTTTGCTTTTAGTGGCCCTATTGCGATGGCAGCCATGGCGAGCACAACAAGCTGACCGGCGACAATGTTGGCCCAGTTGTGGTCAGCAAGAAGAAGTAAACGCCTTTCTGACTCTCCTCGGCTAGATGATGCACCAATATCATCACCGTTTGTCAGATTCAGTTAGCATTTCCTTGTTGATATTCTCGAAGAGCTTCGTTTAAGTTAAAAGCCGAACTCCTTTTCTTAATTCTTTTTAGTTTTTTTCAAGCTATTCCTACTGTAAGCAAATACAAAAATATTAATGGAATTCAAATGAAGCCAATAAAAAAAGATTGAATAAATGAATGATTGAATCATACAGATATTAAAATCAAGAAATTCTCATCCATTTTGGGACTGTTTTTTTTCAAGTAGTAGAAAACGCATAATTTGTTTTATTATTATTTTTAAATCCCGTAAAAATTATTTGCTGGCTGTGAGTGTTTGTGTGTGTGTGTTTTGAACGCGATTACAGAACAATTCTTATTCGGGGGTTACAGAAATGCAGAAGGCAGGCGGCGACAAACTTAAAAAATACCAAAAATTTTGTTTTGGTTTTGCTGAGCAAAAGCCAGGACATAATATGTAATTGTATTTTCTTAATTTTTTTTTTAAATAATGTTCACACAGCACGACGCTTAAACATTTATCAGTTGGAACTTAGAAATAGGCATCCTCGTGTTGCTGCTTTTGTAGCACTTGCTGCATTCCGAATCTCAGAAAATGTTCTGGTGCTGATTGTTGCTGCTACATTTTTTCTCGGGTTCTCTCTATTTGAAAATCTTGCCCTCCTTGAACTTTCGGCCAGCCTTATCGGTGCCGAGCCAGGAGAAGTACTGAGTGACAAGCTTCTTAGTCTCCTCGCTCTTGGCATCCAGTTTCTTCCAGTCGTAGACCTCGTAATCGATCTGCCAGTCGGGCGACAGAGTGAACGCCAGATCATGTCCACGCCACACCCACACACCGGAAATGCTGCTGTTGTTATCCTCACCAAACAGGCAGACGGAGGCGAATGCCTGTTTGCGCATCTTATCGAGACGCTGGAACATGCCACCGATCAGATTGCAGGACATAAAAGTCTTGGTCAGTTCTTCGTTGTATTTGTATTCGCCAAACCAGATCGAATAGTTCTCAGCATCGAATTTCTCAAAGAAATAGGGAATGGACTTGGCCTCTTCCTCATTGGAATAGACACGCTTGAAGTCATCAAAATTGAACGTGCCCTTGGGCATGGCATCAAACGGATCCTTGGACTTGGGCTCCATAGCCAAAGCGGCATCGGCAGCATCGAGCTCCTCAGGTTCGGGTGCAGCCTTCTTGGGTGCCGGTTCCTTCTTGGCCTTTTTCTCATCCTTGGACTTGGGCGCCTGCTGGGGCTTGGCACCGCCAGTCTTGGCCAGGAATTCAGCGTACTTCTTGGGGTCAAAGACGAGCGCCTTTTCGCACAGCTTAAAGTCCTTGATAACAGCCTTCACCTGCGGCTGATTGAGGATGGTGACGAACCAACGGTTCAAATTGCCGTACGCACTGCGCACACTTGAATCCAGCACATGCTCATACAAATGGAGCAGGGTGCAGAAGACAACAATGTCGGCCAACGTGATGCGTTCACCGGCGAGGTAAGTGGCATCCAACAGCTTCTTGTTCAGCTGCTGCAGCACAACCTCAACGTCCTGTTTCACATTCGCATTCTTCTGCTGCGGCATTATGCCGAGCAGTGGGAACACCCATGCGCAGGACGCAGGCAAGATTTCATTGTCAGCGAATGAGATCCATTGCTGCACCTGAGCCTGCACCAGCGGACACTTGCCGCCACGCAGCTGCTCATTGGCCAAAAAGTAGGCAATGGCATTCGACTCGGTCAGGCATTTGCCATCAGCGGTCTCATAAGCTGGCACCTGGAACACAAGCACAACACATGTGATACATTAGAAAGGAAAATATAATAAGCTCACATCTATTTTAGGCATGCCGACGCAAAGAGAACATAGTTCAATTGTGTATAAATAGCTATAGATAAGAATGAGGAGACAAAGTATTTATCTTTGGAAAAATATAGTTGTGTTGGTCGTTTTATAATCTGTATGTGGGTTTGCCAAAAAGAATTTATGTTTCGAAAAATTTAGTTTCTTGATCGCATTACAATCTGGATTTGCCTAGAAAGATTTTATCTTTCTACAGATATAGTTGTCTTGGTCGCATTATAATCTTCTGAATTTGGAACTGGCTAAAAAGATTTTATGTATGGATATGGATATACATCTGCCTAAATGCTAAAGCAAAGCATTTAAATTCCAGCAACAGAGAATACAACAACCACCTCAATTCTTGCCTCTGCAACGTGTATCATTTTCTCCTCTGCCTGGCTACAAACATTCGCAAAACTTTAGCAACGACGAAATTTTCTTTCGCTGATGACGTTGCGCATTTGCCGGCTTTTTAAGGTCGCTCTCCACGCCCAAAAGCGATAAGCAGCAAATGTATATGTATTTTTTTTTGTCTGTTATGCTCACCTTGCCGCCTGGGAACTTCTTTAGGAATTCCTCCGATTTGTTGGACTCGCCAAACTTGAAGTTATCGGCCACTTTCACCTTAGCGCCAGAGTACTGGGCCGCAATGAGGGCTTTGTACGCGCGGAAGTTCTCGGGATAAGTGTAAAGCGTCTGTAATTATAAATTTGATAGTTGAGAGATATTTATTAGTGTGTTCCCAGAAATGTTGTGCACTTGTTGAGCTATAATTTGTTAATTATTAATGCAGGATTGCAGAATAATTGGCGAATTAAAGCGACATATTTTTTTACTTACTCCAGTCGACATCGTGATTTCTGCCGGAGAGAAAGAAGAAGACACAGACAGTGTTGCCATAGCCCATTACATGTTGCTGTTATGTGTGGAGCACAAGCATGTTAGGCGAGGAGTTAAAACGTAAAATGAAGCGATTACAAATCGAACGAGTGCTAGAGCTGGCAGACGATATATAATTGTGACCATCGATAGTTGTTAAATTGATTAAAGAATTCATTTATTTGGGTAACAAAAATTTGTATTTTTCTGCTCATGTTACCAATTTGATATCGTCGGCTGCTTCGGTTCTTTTAGTTCACTAAACACCAGAGAGAAAACAATCGATAGTGCAGAATAATCGATTGGGACCAATTGCTCAAAACTATCTGTATTATCGGTAGTGACATCGATTGTTCTGTAGCTCTCTAGCGAGTGTACAATTGACACCGAGAGCGGCCGTAAGCTTACGGCGCATAAATTTACAGAATTTCCGTGCCTATATACACTTGAAACTCGAATTCAAATCCAAATTAATTTGTAAGTGCAGCATCGCTGCCATGCTTAGACGTGCAGCAGTCAAACAATCATTTTAACCGGCTGTAAAAAACGTCGGGCAACGGCAAACTGCCGCAGTGAAAAAAGTGAAAATTCGAGTGGTGTTCAGTTTAGCGAGTACGTTGCATGAGTGTGTGCGTGTGCGTGTCGTGTGTGTGTGTGTCTGTGCGTCTTACGTCTTACGCTACGTTACGTTGCAAGTGAAATTTCTTCTGCGACACTTTCCAGCGGCAAATGAAATTGTTTGTTTATTTTCCTCTCAAAGCAGCAGCAGCTACACAGAATCTAGCAACTGCCCGCAAATGTTGTTCCCGAAATATGTGAGTTTGCCTTGTGTATATTTTTGCGACAAACCTCAAACACCAACACACACACATATGCATCCATACATACATACATACAAGTAAATGTCACAGCATCCAGCAAAAAAAAGGGAGAAGAGATTTACATATTTTATTGTTGTTTAACTGTTTACTTTGCAGTTGTGATTGCTGTTGTTCTTGATGTGGCTGTTAACGTTATTCTAAATGTAACCTTAACATTTATCATGCGCTCTTTTCGTCATTTCGTATTTGCAGCTTGTGTGACATGTGACCTTCATTCCAGCAAACAAAATCAATAGCAATATGCATAGTTAACGTGAACGTTCACTCGTTTGCATCTACATATGTTTTTGTTGATTTTCATACTCTCTTCTCTGTCCGTCTGCTCATCTTTTGCTTTTTGGCCCTGGCCTACCTCACCAAAGCTGCCTTGCTGCACCCCAGCTGCCCCGCCGCCCCGCCGCCCACCTGTCGCCTTCATCCATAACAGCCGGCCCTGAATTTCGTTTTACATAATTAGCCGTATATGCAATAAATATTGGAAATATTAGGAACAACAACAAATGTTATTACCAGACCGGAGAACTGTTAATTGACCAGAGTGAACAAACTGAATCATGTGACCAAACCAATTGACCAATTTCAATTTGAAGCACTTGTATAAATAGTCAAGGCTTTCAATATTTACCATGCGCATTTCTGAAATTTATGTAAGCCCCCGTCGTTGTCGTCGTCATTGTTTTTGTTTCTGTTGAAATGATTCATAACCACCTGCCGGTGAGATTAATGGTCGATTATATATATTTTATTATCAGTTTATCAGGCAACTGTTTTCCACTTTTATTTTTTTAGAATTCTTTTTGATGTACGACGCAATCAGCATACAAGTCTTAAATAATATTGTCGCACATATTTGCTTACGCCTGAAAACCCTGCAAGGGAAAGATGCGTGTCTCAGCACAGCTCAGTTCAGCAGATGCTGTTGAAACTTCAGGCGAGGTATGCAGACAAATACCAATGTTTGCACCAACCAGTGTGTCCCTCAATTTGTGGGTGCACTAAGCAAAAAATTAACATTACTTTTTTGTTACTCATTTTATAAGAAATTAAAGTGAAATTTCATCAAATCAATTTTGGATATTCGAATGCTAATAAAAAATAATAAGCGGAAAATAATAAGCGGAAAATGTTACAACTAATTGTGAAATTTGCGAATCAATTCTTGCAGGATCATGAAAGATGCACGAATATGACATAAATGAGCTGAGAGAGGAACAAGCCCGTCTTCCGACAAGCACCAGCAGCACCAGCACAAGCAGCAAAAACAATTGTCGCAATAATCAACAACAACTACAACAACAAATTCATATTCAATCGCCGAGGCAAGAAACAACAACTTTACACCTACTACAACAATCACAACAGGAGGCTTCCACAAACCTAATTGCAACTGACGACCCGCAACAATTGTCGCCGTCGTCCTCATACTCCTCGGCCACATATCCAGCGACTCAGCACGAGTACACAGATCCAATCGTAGAGCCACCCAAAGCCAAAGTTGAGGTCCAAGTACCGAAGCGTAGGCGACAGCGACGCGTTTATGTTGCAGAGTTTTCACGTTGCGCCAGTCTACGTTCACGGCAATTGGCTCCCGTCGAGGTAATTCCTCTGCCGGAAATACCACTAACTCCTTCGCCAACGCCCACCGAGGTTATCGAGGATCATAAAAGTTATTACATAAAGCCAGGTAAGTGTAATGTAACCAACCATTCGATGTAATTAAAGAGCTAAATACTGACTGACTTTTGCAGAACATTTCAATTCCGAGTTCTGGAATCGCATTGAGGAGGTGCCCGAGGTAAAGCCAACGGGACGCAAGAGACGCGGCGCCGTCGGTTTTAGGAATCGCAAGCGTCGCAACCGGCCTGATCTCGATACGTCGTCGATCTTCTCGCCGGAGACGACGGCGGCAATAGCGGCGGCCCAAATTGAGCTCGATTCGGCCAAGCCGGTGTCACGTGCATTTCGCAAGCGAAAACTGAGCAGCGGCAACATGTCCTTATACGATCGACGCTACCAGACGTCCAACGATGAACAGCGGCGGGTGGCCAACGGTTATGCCGGTGGCAATGGGCTGCGAGCGGGCAATTCAGCCGGTGCCGGTGACATCGATACAGCAGATCTGCAAATTACCCATCATTATTATGTGCCCGGTGTGGGGGGCAGCAGCAGCTCGAGCATTGCAACCACTGGCACTGGCTCGGGACTCAATGGGAGTGTCGGTGGTGGCAGCGGCTCAGCAGCATTGAATCATGTGCCCGCCATGGGCACACTGTGCAACATTGGCAACACATGCTATCTAAATTCTGTGGTGTATACGCTACGTTGTGCCCCGCACTTCCTGCACAATCTGCACCATCTTATCCACGACCTGAATGTGGTGCAGCAGACGATGTTGCGACAGCACAACGCCAAATCTGCATCGCTAGGACGCAATGTGAGCGGAGCTGCTCAATTAGAGCATGCGCGCAGTTGGAGCAGCAAGGATTTGGCCACCACAGAGCCATCGTACAACAACAGCACCGTCAGCGTCACAAATGGCAGCAACACCAGCAACAATGGCAACAACACCAGCGGAAGCAGCACCAATAAAAAGTCATCTCATCAAGTGGTTAGCGAGATGTTGCATGAATTGTACAACAGTCTGCATGGCAATGAAATGGCCGATTCCAGTGAACCGTATCATGCGGACACCCTGCTCCATGCCGTGCAGGATGTGAATGCCACGTTCGAGGGCAATCAGCAGCAGGATGCGCACGAGTTTCTCATGTGTCTCCTCAATTGTATACGTGAAACGAATCAGTCGCTCCTCAAGGCCATTGCCGATTGTCCCGAAGTCATTGCAAATGGGTGAGTTTCTCCCATAATTGTTGCCTTTGAGTGTTGCCAACTCTAAACAATTTTAAATTAGAATAGATTGTTATTAAAAGTAAGTAATTTGAATGTAAATTGAATATGTATTTTTATAATACAGTATTGCTTCAATATTCAAATATTAAAAATAACTTATTAAAGTGTATAAAAATTTCATAAATAATGGCAAAAGTCAATTGGACTAAATTTGAAATAGAAATTTGGCAATCTGTTTTGGCTTGGCAATCATTTGAAACTATTTTACTCACTTAATACCCGCTTTATCTTAACAGTTACATTGCCAATCCCGATGATGCAGACACAGTAGATGCCCTGGAACGCTCTGATGCGGGCGGCAATTATGCAATGTTGGGCACTGCTGGGAATGGTTCGATAGCAACTAGTCAAAGTCAAAATACCACAACGACAAAAACATCGTTCTTCTCGCGCAAGTCAAAGAGAAAAGATGATGTGAAATCGTCGAAGGCGACACGCTTGCAGTCGCCGCTTAAGGACAACAGTCCGACAACAGCTAGTGGCATGCCACCACAAGCGCATGCCGCCTCCAATAGTCTTTTCTATTTGAATACAGTCGATCTCAGCGGCGCTAGCGGCGCCACAACAGGCACAGCCACACCATCAGCTTCAGTGTCAATGACAAATGCACCTGCGCCTGCTAAATATTCCAGTGATGATGAGATAAGTTCAGCCATTCAGCTCAAGGATAAGATGCGCCTGGAGGAGCGTATACGTGAACTGAATTTGAACTTTTTCAACAAAGATTTCGAGGGCATTGTGGTGCTGACCACCAAATGCCTGAGCTGTGAGACGATTACGCGTCAGAAGCAGGGCATGCTCGATATCTCAGTACCTGTGCCGATTTCGGGTTACGATACTGCCGAGTTGCAGGAAAAACCCAGCGCTTATATACAGGCAAGTGCCCTAATCAGCTACCAGCCAACAGCAGCCACTATCAGCCAGCCTCTAACTATCTACCAAATCGAAACAAACATGTAGATTACAGAACTTATTAATTATTACTACTAAATATTGATATTTGGCTACCGTGCTGGCTTTTGCGACTGGTGTTTGTTTTGTGTTTATTTTTGGTTTATTGCCTTTATCTAATTGATATTGTCCCCTTGCAGAACTCGTGCATAACCCGTGAATATTTTCGAGGCGATAACAAGTACAGCTGTAATCAGTGTACGGGCTACACTGAAGCCATACGCTCGATATCGTACGAAGTGCTGCCGCGTCTGTTGGTCATCCAGTTGAATCGCTTCTCGGGTGGCATGGAGAAGGTCAGCACGTATGTGCCGACAACATTTACGCTGCCCTGCTTCTGTGCCAAGTGTTGTGAGCTAAGCGATGCCAACAAACTGCACGTCTACAAGCTGTATAGTGTTATCACACATGTGGGCGCCACACTGACAGTGGGCCATTACATAGCATACACATGCATTCTGGATTTGGCCAGTGATTATGTTAATTGCCCCAAGGATCGTCGCAATAATACATCATCATCGGCAAGTGGGCAGCAACAGCAGGCGTCATCATCGGCCGGTGGCAATGAGAACACTGCACCTAGCAGCAACAATGGCAGCATCAGCATTGCCAGCACACCCGTCTCGGCGGCTGCCTCAGCGCTGGCTTCGTCCGGCACCAGTCTGATTAAGAAGATGAAATTTGGTCGCAGCAAGGCGTCGAGCAGCGGCGATATGAGTAAAAATGTTAAACAATTGAATGGCTTTACGAGCAAAACGATTACCAATGGCATTGGCAAGCTGAGCATGAATACCACATGCCATGGCGTCAATTGTTGTGCGATGCGTCTGTGTTGCAGCCAACAGGCAAGTGCCGCGGGCAGCAACAGTGCCAGCAGCAGTGATTTCAGTGAGGAATCCCTGCAAAATGGGAGCAACAGTAATCTTAGCTATGGCAGCTCCGCCAGCAATAATTGTCCGCCATATCCGGTGGGGTATGGGAGCACGGGTCGCGGCGGTGTCAAGGCCAACTATGCGGCGAACAGCAGCGAGCCCACTTGGTATATGTGCGATGATGACAAGGTCAAGGCGATGTCACAGCGCGATTTCGAGGAGCTGCTGTCGCCCACACGCAAAATAACCATAACACCCTATCTACTATTCTATGCCCGTTTCGATTTGCAGCCGGCGCAGGCGACACCACCAAAGCCGAATGCATCGTCAACGCCACCGCCGCCACCGACAGCGTCACATCAGCAGCAGCAGCAGCAACCACAAAGCTCTTGGTCGAATGATAATCTGCAAAGTGGCTTGCACAAAATGTGAAAGGCTTTTGCCACGCTGCGTTCGGCAATTAAATTGAAACGTGCTGTGCCCCTCACCGGTGGCAGCATATAAAGTAAGCAGATCTATGTAGTAGTTTTTGCAACTGAGGTGGTACTATATAGAAACCTACTTACACACAATATACATATGCATACATATATACGTCTCTAGATTAGGTCACACGAGTGAAGCAGAAGTCTGTTTGTTAAACAATGTACACGTTTAAGCTCTTATCGTTTATCTACATGCATAAAAAACAAAACAAATCAAAAAAAAAAAAAAAAAAAGAAGAAATGATAAAAGAAACAAATCTACAATTTAATAACTAAATACGGAAACTTGTTTAAAGCTAATTAACCTTTTGACTGATGAAACAAGCAACAACAAAACCCACTCCCTCCCCCAGATACAAAACAAAAGAAAACAATGTGTAAAACCCGCTCGGCTGGATGGACCCCATCGTGGGGGATCTTTGCTGGGCATCTGTGTAGGTTAGTTGATCCCAGTTGAATGCTAACGTTAACGAATTGAATTAGTTTGACACATGGCATTTAAAATGTATTTTGAATAAAGTTCTACTTATTTTTTTTCCTTGCATACAATTTATATATATTTTTCGTTTGTTTTTCTAATACATCTAAGGCATCTTTGCATTTCTCATTTTGGCATTCGTTTGTTGTACGAGTTGCTGCCAGTTATTTTTGAAAACGAGATCAAAACCAAATCGAAAGGAGAATAACTGAATAAAATTGTAAACACGAATTTAACACGTTAAGAACGCTAATGAAATATTTGTTTGCGCCTATCGCCTCAATATAAAACACAAAACAAACAATTAAAAAACAACAACATAATCAAAGAAAAGCTCAATTCAATGTGTACTAAAGTAAAAAAAGAATACCTTGGATATAGATAAAGATATTATTCAGTTTTTGTGCATACTTCCATAATGACAAATTAAAGGAACAGACATCTCTAAATGATAGCTAAATATTTGTTCATACATAATAAATAAACAATACAATTCATATATACGTACATATTTAAATGGATATCAAATGCATCTGGATATATACACATATACATATACATATAGGCCCATGCGTACATATATCAAGTGTTAAATAGTTGTTACAATTAACTGCATACCAATACAGAAGCAAAAGCCTTTCTAATTGGCCAATTGAGAATATCAGCAACAACCACACAAACACACACAGAAAACAAATTGAAAATCAATCAGATAATTGTTATAAAAATTAATAAAATAGTTTATATTGATGTTTTTCATATGATAAATAAAAACAACAAAAAAAATAGCAAACAGAAATGGTAAAAGAAAAAGAAAGCACACACACACACACACACACATACACATACGCTAACTGTAATAAATAAAAACAGAATACATTTAATAATAACAATAAATACTTTATGCAATCTCTTTATCTGTTCAGTTAACAATTTAGTTAGTTTCTTTTTCAGGAGCGCTGCTTTAGTGATATTAACATTAATACATTCACAAACACACACAGACACACACACACACATACATATTTATTTAGCTTGTAATTGTAACTGTAACTTGTAATATTAACAACAATTCCAATGAAAAACAAATGAAAACAAATCCTTAAAAAAAGAAAATTCAACTCAACTTCTCAGTAAACACGACACGAGTTGTGTTAAAAAAGCGCCGCTTAATTCCAATTATGATTATTATTATTATTAATATTATTATTATTATTATTATTGATTAGCATTATAGAATATGCTTAACTAAATATACGAAATATACAACATACATACTATATATCTATGTGTATATCTCTAATCAAGATTCATTCACAGTCACTTTGGATGCATCACCTGTCATTGCCGTCAGCTTATCAGTTCCCAGGAGTGAATCCCAGGATTGATTTATTCAACTCTTGGCTTGGGTTTCGTTTATTAACATATTGAAGTAGCTTGTCTGGCACGTGACCAAAATCGTTAAACACTCTGCTCATTGTTTGCCTGACTTGCTAGCTGTCTGAAGTCCATTGATCTCTGAGTCTATAGAAGCTAGGATAGCCCATTTGCTATAAGTATAGTTGATATTTAGCATATTCATTTCGCTTGAGCTGATCCTAAGTATATTTTTGGATTATATTAATTTTCGAATGGGTAACTAAAGGTGCATTTTACAGCTCTTTGACCCCTGAGTCTATGGAAGCTAGTGAAGCCTGTGGGCTATAAGAAAACTTTGCATTTCTGTAGCAAGCATATTCATGCCCCATAAACTGATTCTTATTATATTTGTAACTTCCATTTAATTAAGGCACCAAAAGTTTCGAATTCAAATTCTGTTTTTAATATATTAATATTTAAGTTAGTCTTTAAAGTATTTTTACCCGCCATCAAAATGATATCGAATTGAAATTATATTTTTAATTTTGACAACAAATTTGTAGTCTGTCGTATATTTTAAAAGTCAGAAAGTATAAAATATGTTGATCTTAATTGAAATAATACTTAGAGTCAGCAAATTAGATTCATGGATACCCATTTGAGAGCTATTTACTGTTCCATTATCCACTCTGTTTCAATTGCTTGATCTGAAAAATAATCGTGTTTCTAGTTTCCAGTTTCAAATTTTCTTTTGTTTTTTTTTAATGTATATTTATTTTCCCTATACCAAAAGTGATTTAAAACAAATCAATCCATTTACTTTACATATTTTTATGTAATTGTTTTATATAGTTTATTTGAATTTTTGTTTTGTAAATGTGCGGCATACTTAATACAAGAGATTTTAATGAGCTGATGTAAGCGGGGCATTTAGAACAATTTCTTAATTTTGCAACAATAAATGCAAATTTGATTACTTATCGAGCAGAGCCTCGACGGAACGGGTCACTTGTCGGTAGTTGCGCTCCTTCCACTGGACATTGGTGAGCATGGTCTCCAGGCTCTGTTGAATGGCCTGTTCCAGACCCTTCAACGAGGCCCTGTTTGTGTTGACAAAGTTCTTGAAGTCCTCAAAGTCACTCTGCAGGAATGTCTGCTCCGATAATGGGGTCAACAGGCGTGACATGTCCTTGGTGATGGGATGATAGCTAGGGCAAAGATATGTTTCATTATTCCATAAATCAAAAATAGTCATCCATAATGTGCTTGCACTTACAATTTGTAGATAGCGTCGACGTTAGCTATAAAGTACTCTCTGGCCAAATGGAAGCCAATCTCATTGAAGGCCACAGCCTGGAAGGCCCACATCGAATCCTGTTTGCGTATGCCCTCCTGCGGGTTAAAGGCCAGGGCCAGATAACGTTGCAGCAGCCAGACCTCCCGACTGCAACCCAACGAGGACAGAATCGTGCGCTTCTCGGCGGCCACATTGGAGTTCTTGTAGCGTGTCCACAGGAACTGCCAATCCTCATCGCTACCATGCCGTATCGAGGTGCAATAAACCGTCTGTCTCAGATTGATGGGCACCGGATTCTTCTTGTCCGGCTCAACTTCGTTGCGCCAGGAGCGATAATAGGCCTGTGCCACTGGCACACAATCATCCACCTGATACTGACACGCCCAGTTGCCCACCATTGTCTTGAGCAGCACCTGATCCTGTTGCTCGATGCCGCTGAATGTGTCATTCAAACCGTTCAAATGTTGGTAAATGGGCTCGATCAGTTTTTGCAGATAACGCTGTAAGATTTTATTTCAAGTGCATTTTTAGTTAATGGCTGCGAATTTGTTATTAAAGTGCAAAGGAATTTGGGTCATGTCAAAATTCCTGATGGAAATTTTCAAATCACTTAAATCTCTTATAGAAAAAAGGACTTACGAAGAAATACAACTTTATTTTGAGGGGGCAGTGCCGCATGGTGTGGGGGAAGTGGCAAATAAAAATTAGTCGTGCTGTGGCACTGTGATCAACTCAACTAACCTTAAAGAATTCATAGTTGGGCGTCTGACGAATAATGTTCTTCATACGCTTCAGATTCTCAAAGGCCGATTTCCAGGGCAAATATTCACGCTCTCGCCTCAGATAGTCGACCAGCTGCATGGCAATCTCATAGTTCTGCTCGCCGGTCCAGGCCAGGTACAGGGCATCGTCAATCAGCTGGGCTCGATTGATGACATGGATGCGCTCAAAGTCGCCATTGGTCAGCGTCTCAATGAGCAGCTTCCAGTTGCGTTCATCGTAGTTCACCTTGTACAGCGTGGAGAGCTGTGTGTTGAAAATGATCCACTGATCCTTGCCGGGCAGGCCACTTATCGTTTTGGGCAGCACTTCACCGCTCACCGCATCGCACTCCATCCAAGCCTTGGGCGTTGTGTTCCTAAAGTCCTGCTCCGCTTGGGTCGTATAGCTCAGTGGCACCCACCAGCAGCCCAAGCGATGATTCCGTGCGACTTGAGTGTTGAGCAGATAACGCTCCTGGGTCAACTTGGCAATGCCGCTCGAATAGTCACGGGTTATGTTGATGATGGGATAACTGGGAAAATTTGAGAGCATAAATCAACATGCAATTAACAGCTTATAAAGTTTAAAATTATGCTTAGGATAAAGTTCATCTCGCATAAAATTATTTGTAGTTCACCAACTCAAAAAAAGGTAAAATTTACTTTAATCATCAGTTGTGTGATAAGAAATGCTTTATTATTTTAAATAAATAATAGTAGTGATGCTTGATAAAAAGCGTATTCTGAATATTTTCATAACCCCTTTCATATTTATATTCGTTGGATATATATATTCCTTCGATATATATACCAACTCCCGTTTTCTTAAGTTTACCTATTTTTTTTGTCTGGCAATCTGACAATAAATATATTTCAAATTGAACGAGTTTTTTTTATTAAACCTATGCCATGCCAAGTTGACTGTTTCTTTAAAACCATACCATAAGAATTGTTGATTTTTTGGTAATAAATTGCCTGAAAATCGAAACAGTTTTAAAAATCTTCAGTATGAAGACAAATGCCAAAAAAAATCAGAAAAATTCTATTCTGAAAAACGGCAAATTATTGACAATAATTAAAATAAATAAATAAATTGGTGGACTACAAATTTTTGACCTCGCCTGTAGATTATATTAATTTTCCATGATTTAACTGAACTAATCCAATAAAATTGCCATTTCAGTTTCGAAAATGTACAATTTCCTTAATAACTAAAAACATTGATAAATAATTAGTTGTTAATTAGTAGGGATAGTATCTAAAAGCTGGAGATGATATCTAAAATAATTGGAAGCACTTACCCAGTTTGCAGCGTCCATGAGTCCATGATGCGCTTGATGTCATAGGTCTTGGGCAGAGCCCTGTGTTTGTGTGCCGCCTCGGTGAGCGACTCCCAGAGATTGTCCTGCTCGGCATTGGCGTAGGAGTACTTTTGCAGATAGTTTTGTATGCCAGACCGGAAGGCTTCCTCGCCCATGAACATGTGCATCATGCGCAGCACCGTGGAGCCCTTCTGATATGAGATCTGATCGAAGCTCTCAGAGATCTCGCTGACGACCTCAATGGGTCGCGAAATGGGATGACTGCTCTCCAGTGCATCCTTCCTGAAGATGGTCAAGAGATTGCCCAGCGACTCCTGCTCCATGGAACGCCACTCGGGATTGATGTTCTCCACACCCAAGCTAGCCACATAGGTGGCAAATCCTTCGTTCAGCCAGAGATCTGTCCACCATTTCATCGTAACGAGATTGCCAAACCATTGATGGGCCAACTCATGAGCGATTATCGATGCGACACGCTGCTTATCCGCCAGCGACGAATGTGTCGATGAATACAGCAACGCAATCTCCCGATAGGTAACCAGACCCCAATTCTCCATGGCACCCGCACTGAAATCGGGTATGGCAATCTGATCCATTTTGGGCAGCGGGAACTTGATGCCGAAGAGCTGCTCGTAATACTGCAACACCTTCGGACCGACCTCCGCCGCATAATCGCACTGATCGATCGCATTGGGTCGCGCCCAGGTGCGGAAGAGGGTGCTGTTCGGCAGTGTTGATGGCTTGTGTGTGAAATCATTCACCGAATAGGCAACCAAGTAGGTTGACATCGGCACAGACTCCTCGAACTCGCACCAAATGTAGTCCGCTATTTTCTCACTACAAATTTATATATATACATATATATATATATATATATAAGTGGCCAACTTTGACTTACTTGGGCGTGATCTCCTTAACGGGCATATTGCTCAGGCCGGTGAAACGCTTGTGGTAGCCCAATGTGACCACAAATGGCGCCTTGAAATTGGGCTCATCGAAGCAGGGGAAGGCCAAACGTGCGGATGCCGGCTCAAATTGTGTAATGGACAGCCAACTAATTAAACGTCAATTATATAGATGGATTAACTCATATTAGCTGACTTGCTTGTTTGCTTTATAACATCTGAAAATCAATGCTTTGATTTAATTATAATTTATTGTTGAAGAGGATTTTAAACAATGTTTTATATTTCATCTTTCTTTTATAGTTTTTACAAAGTTATTTTCTTCACTTATTATCATTTTTTGAATATGAATTTCAAATGAAAACAGTAATTTTGTTTCCAAATTCAACATCGGGCTACTACGAGTATATACCATATATGCCATGGGAATGCTCAGTCGTAAGATGAGTTCTAATATGAAAAACTTTTATATTTAAAAAGTTTTTCTAATTAAAAACTCACTAGTTATATTATATAACTTCATATGATCAATCGGTTGAAATATACAAATTTATTTGTTTTAGTTTTTATTTATTTATTTTACTCCTTTCATTTGGACAAAAAGTCATTGAGATTGGTGACTACTATCATTCTTTAAAATAGCTGCCAGATGATCATTTATTACTCGATTACTTTGCTCTTCTGCTTCACTTTCTAATTAAAATTCCTAGAACTTACTGTGTCTTATTGGTGGCCGGAGCATTGTAGGAACTTCTGTAGTAACCCTCCAGCTGACGATTGAGCTCAGCGGCAAAGGGCATCGTCAATTCGTAGATGTCTCCGGCGAGGAGCTCATTGCAAGTGTGCATCACATAGAAATCATGAATGGGATTCACTTCCGTGGATGAGATGCAATTCTCTTTGTTGTCACTCGACGTATCCCTCAGTTCGATGAGCGATTGGTCAATGGTCAGATTCTTGGCATGCAGCGTTATATTCCTTGTGTTCTCGAGCACCTCGACGAGGATTTTCACAGTGCCCGCAAAGTTGAGATGGTCGGGATCCTCGAAATGGGTCAGGACGCGCAAATTATATTTCTGTGGTCGCAGCGCAGTCGGCAAACGGAAATAGTTATAGCTGGAATCGGCCAATGTCACGCCAAGCACAGCCCAACTGGCCACCAGCAATAAAAGCAGCCTCATGTTGACCCTGCAAGCAATAAACAATAAAAAAAAAAAAAGCAGTAAAAACAATAAATACAGAAATCAGCGAATTAATGTGGAGCGGAATGAATCAATTAACTAAATCACTTTGCTGAATTAATGCTGAAATCAATTTACAAAACGATCCAAACGGAACGCAATCAGTGACTGCGATTACACTCTTTGCCAGAGTTGGGTCTTATAACTATGCCATACACTGAAAGATAATTTATAATCTTCAATTCACAATATACTCATAGATATACACAAGTCAAGGAGAAGATGAATCTTGACGGAATTCGATATATGTTGGGGTAAAAAGAAATTACTTGAAAAACATTTTTCAATTAAAAAAAGTGGATGCCAAACTATAAATCAATCTATATTTAAACACAATTAAGAAAGTGTGTTAAAAATGAAGAAAGCTTATTAATTTAACTTACAATTAAATGCTATAAAATAAAAAGTTAAAAATTGTAATTGAAAAACAAATAAAATAAAGTATTTTTAAATATAAAATGGTGCAACATTTAATGTAATCAGACAAATAATTGTTGAAGTAATACGGAAAGAAAAACTTTAAGCAAAAAGAAAAGTTAAAATTTCCATTCCCATATCCTTGCCATAAATGTTACGATCAAGTTATATTCAAAGTTAGGCAGTGTTTTTTAAGTATATTAATTTTTTGATCAAAACTTGAAAATACTGCTTCGAGAAAATCACGATTTAATTCAATGAATTCTGAGAATAGAATACTAAATATAGTGTAAACAAATTAAATATAAATCTAAATCTTAATATGTATTCTGATCTATAACATTTTAAGCTAAGCCACACTTGCATCAAGAACTTTCATCATTTACTAGACTATTTTTTAAATTGGTAGTCTTTAAAATGAATTGACTGATTTTTAAAATAGATTTTCTATCAAAATTGAATACGCATGGAAGGGTATTTAAACTTCGACCATCTTCTTTGTAGATTTTATTATTTGTATTGTTTTTTATTTAATTTGTTAATGCATATTTCTTGTCGGGCTGTTGATTGTTTCTTTAACAAATGCAGTATGCCGAACACGTATTAAGGTCTGGGCCAATGAAACTTGAATTGCGGATTGAATGTTATTTTGTGTGAGCTGCCCTGACGTATGTGATTATTATTAGTATTATTATTATTATTATGATATTGTTAATGTGTACTATTATTATGCTCATTGTGTAGTGAGTGCTGCACTATCAAGTGCTCTTAATCAATTCACAGACGAGTCACGTGTCTAGTGTGCAAATTATGAAAAATAAACTCAACTTCAAAACTGAATGCGATTGCATCTGAGTTGTGAAGAACGTAGACTTATAGAGCAAAATCAGATCTGTTAAACAACTTGCAGAAAGAGAGAGAAATAGAGAGCAACAGACTCGGCAACAATAACTACAACAACTGGATTAACCAGATGCGAGTTTGCAACTCGTTTTCCAACTCAACGCTTGGGAATACGAATATATGTATATATTAATTCATAAATATATGTATATATATATATATATATATATGTATTGAGACTTGTAGCGATATCTGAGTGTGGGTGCGGCCAATGAACTCTTTGGATCTACGATCTGATCTGCCTCTACCTAGACACATAGTTACTTATGTATTGAGAACAACTTGAAAGTAGATTCGAAAGTATTCAATTGACATGCATGAATGCATAAGTACTTTATACATATGTATATATTTCTGATTTATCAATTACTATACCAGTGCTCGCTTGAGATTATAAAATGCTTTAATTGCTGAATTTTAATTTGGGACTCACATTTACGATGCAAGAAAAATGAATAAACATGAAATAAAGAAAATATATATAACCCTACTTCAAATATTCGTAAATGAATAAAGTAAATTACTTCTTATTAAAAAAATATACATAATAAATAAATTAACAAATATAATTGAAGTGCACAACAAATAATTAAAGTTCAAATAGTCATAAATTAACAAAATAAACATTTTTCAAACATTATTTTTATACAAAATAAATAATATTGAAATATTCGAATATTCATAAATGAATCAATTAAATCATAACAAATTATGCATAAGTAAATTATATTTATTTATTTTGTATATTTTCGCTTGCTTTCGTTTAAATCGTCGATTAAAATTTGTAGATTTTTTGCACTGATTTTAAACTAGAATTATTTATTTTAACACATGACATTGACATTTCAATTGAACTTATCGCTGTGCCTATGAATATTATTGTTCAGACACTTAATTGATTTGCATATATATACATATATATATATATATGTATGTACACTTGTATATATATATTTGTGTGTGTGTGTGTGTGTTTAGTTCGTGATTGCAATTCAATTGTTATTAATATTTACTCAGTTGCAATATCATATTTATTGCTGGGCGTTATTTTAAGCACAAAGCAATTTTTTAATACCACGATTACAATTATGACAGGAATCCCCTGAGAAGGTTCAAAGTCCTCATTTTTCTTTTGTTGTTAGTTTTAGGTTTCAAAACTTTTGTTTATTTTTATAGTCAGCAGCATAATTATTTATAACAAATTATAGTTATTATTGTGTTTGATTAAGGCCTCGGCTGTGCCTCTTCTTGTTTATTTAAGAGCACTTCAGGTGATTATTTTTGTTTACTTGACACACACACACACACAGACAGAGAGCAAGAGAGACAGAGAGCGAGAGAGACAGAGAGAGAGAGAGAGATCGAACTAACCGAAAATCAAAATAAAATGCGAATGCGAACCGCTCACTGGTCGGCGGCAATCTAAAGATTAACAGGCGAAGCGCTTTTATCTTATAGGGCCCGACGCTGCACGCACACAAGCACACGAACACCTCACTTACACACACACACATAAACACACACACACACATTGAGCGCGCAGAGCTCGGAGCAACAGCAGGCGACTTAGACGAGTGCGATTCGTGCTTCGGCGTTGGCGTCGGCGTCGGCGCAGTTTCAAGCTTTTCAAGAACCTTTATCAAAAGCAAAACAAAAAAAATCATTTATGTATGGCACACACACACGCGCACACACAGACACACATGTATACACAGACGCAGCGGGCAGTCGAGCTATTATTGCCTGCAGTATCTAATGGCAGGGCTTACGCGTCGTATGCGCAATTTCTGAATTTTAATGCACGCTCATCAGAGATGAGCAACATTTGCCACTCCGTGACTGTGACGGTGACTGTGACTTTGGCCATATTTACAAATGTTAATATTATTAATGTGAAATTGCTTCTACTCGATTCGATTCGAGCTCGGATCAAGCAGATATTCCTTAGTTATTTTTAGTAATTATTATTGGATTTAATGCGCCCATTTTGAGCCAAAATATTATTTGAAAAGTTAATTCGCAGGCTTTAAGCTATTTGGTTGTCCCTGCTTCATATTTACATATTTATGTGAATATTTCTTAGAGCAGCTTCTTCTATTAAGAAATCTAGCATAAAAAAATAAGATTAACAAATTTTGAAATTTCTTACTCATTTGTTATATTTTTTTATGTGTGAAAAGCATTTCTCTCATAATGAATAAATAAAATAAATGAAATAAAACTGCAGCAATAAATTAGTTGTTTTAATTTTATATCATTTATGTTGCAGAGAAATATAGTATCTTTTCGCGATATATCACAAAATATGCTTAGTCACTGTTACTGCGGCATTGCTCAACACTGAAACAGTAATAGACGCACACACACCGCTTGAAGATGCCACATGGTGGCATGTTGTTGTTGACGCCAACGTGTCTTTGACCTTAATTGCGCTGATTAACCCGGTTTTTACTTTTTCTTTTTTGTTTTTTCGCCACTCCATCACCGAACCACAACTGAACCACAGAGCCACCGAACCACACAGATAAGTCTGCCAACAACAACAATAATAACAACAACAACAATATTATTTTTGGGGGCACCCTGCAGCTGTAATTGGCAAAATGCGGGTAGAATCTTTAAATGGTATCTGTGCAAAGTGCTCTGTGCAAATGCAAGGGTTGTTGACTTAGTTGTGGTGCATGGGGGGTGGTGAGGTTAGTGGGGTTGGTGTGGTGCGTGGTGCGGGGTAATTAATTAGTCGGAACTAACTAAGCAGAACGTTGAGCTTTACAATAATTGCCACAAATACTAATTGCCAGATTACCTCTTATCGTTAATGGTCGTCTTTATCTCCCTCACTTTCTCCCTCTCTCTCTCTGTCTCTCTCTCTCCCTCTCTCATTCTCTCTTGAGCAACAACTTAGTGCAAATAAGTTGACATTTGTAGAAACCCAGTATCGCGTTTTCAACTTAAATTTAGGTCAAAATGAGAAAAACTGATTTCAGTTATGGCTCTGAAAATTTTTGATTTCTCCCAACAAAGTCCTTGAATTAAATTTAGTATTATTCTAGGAGTCAAAGCGGCATATTCAGTTGTTTATTCAGCTTAGTGTATCAAAACTGAAACTCAAACATTTGAAAAATGAATAAAGTATTCGGAATATTTATTCTTACTTTCAAATAAGTAACTACTTTTTTAGGTGGAGCCACCTGTTGTTAGAACATAGCACTATCTAAAAGAAAAGCTAACATTACTACACCTAGCTTGGACAGGAACCTATGAAAGTCAAGACGCATGCTTATTAACAGTAACTACTATGTGAATTAACATGACACTGTTAGCAAAGCAAAGACAAGCACCATATTAGCGCCAGCAAACATTGAATTGTATACACCAACTTTTATCGCAGTCTGGCAACATTAAGACAATTGGCGCCAAAAGTCAAATTAATATAGAATTTATGATTCCGTTCACTAAGTAAATATATTTAAATAAAATAAATAAAATTTCAGTTCAAGGTTCGCGATTTATATTTAAAATGTACGTTTTTTGTTCAATAATATTGCCTTTTTTGATGCAAAAATAAGCTTTGCTTAAGATAATCATTAAAACTAAAGTTTTGAGGGCGATTGGTGTTTTTTTTTTGTTTTTGTTTTTGGGGACATTTTTCGGGGGAGTTACATAAAAATAAACAAATAATAAGCGTAAATTGTACCTAGCAGAAGTTTTAAACTTTCAACTCTTATGCTTAAAAATGTCTTATCTATAAATGTGTGTGTGTGTGAGAGTGTGTGTTTGTGTGTGTTTAGCCATTTGTTCTTGTTACTGCTTAAAAACTAAAGGTGGGTTTTCTAAGGGTAATCGGCTTTTAGGTGTACAATTTTTAGGACGTTTACAATTTGTTTTGTTTTTTTTTTTTAGATTATAATGCACATTTTTGTTACGTTAATAAAATTCGAACTAAACCTCTTAATAAATTCAACTATATCAAACAAAAAATTTCCATAGATAAACAAATAATAAAAAATGAACGTAAAAGAGGTAAACTTATATAAGTCAGGAGAGATTTTAAAGTGTAAATTTGTCTGTTTTTGCGTGTATGTGTGTGTGTGTGTGTGTTAAATTTAGGTCTTAGGCTCTATTAAATTAACAAACGAAAATCAACAAAATCAACTTAAAAATGTGTTTGTGTGTTTTAAAATGAAATAAATACGCAGCTTCTTCTCTTATTTACAAAACTTCTTTTTTCTGGCGTTGCCACTAACCCAAAGAATTAAAATGTGTGGCGTTGCCAGTGTACATAACCCAGTCTTCCCCTTCCCCCTTAAAGCATAAGTCGGGAACGGGATTTCTTGAGGCGACCAGTTGCTCCGCCACCACCACCAGCAGCAGCAGCAGAACCACCGCCGAGGCCGAGTCCATCGCCATTCCACGACTTGGATTTGGCCCTAAAATGACGATAGGCCTCATTGTAGGCGGGCTCCAACATGGGTCGATACGCCTCCGGCTGGCAGTGCTCCAGATGCGTCTCATAGAACTCCTTGTAACCGTTATGCAGCAAATAGATCTCCGGATAATGTAGAGACGGATATGCAGTCGTATTCCGCTCCCGATCTAAATTGCGTAGGAAACGTGACATTTTTGGGCCACGCTCCGAGGAGAATTCACAATGGAAGATGATAATGTTGCGCTTGCCACATGCATCCGCATTTTGTTGCTGCTGCTGTTGCAGCTCAGTCTGTGCTGCGCCCAGAAACTCCTGCAGGATCTGCTCATGGGTATAGAGATTCTTGGCGCCGCGTATATGCCCACCATCGTATTCATAGGGATAACGACAATCGATGATGCGATAACTGGCCACCTCGTCGTCATAGGCACCATTCAGCAGACTGGCCACCGTCTCACTGGAAATGGACTTGAGATCTCTGTGTCGGCCCTCCATCAGCGGCAGGGCGTAAGTCTTGCTAAAGTCACCAATCAGCTCGGGTTCGTTGCGATTCTCGGAGCGTGCCAAGGCGGACATGATCTCTGCATCATTGAGCGAAATACATTTTCGCAGCGGCGGCGCATGTGTGAGCGGCAGTGGCAGCGGTTGGGGCAGTGGACAGTTCTCCTTTTCGATGCAACGGTGACGCTTGCTCTGAATCGGAGAGCAGCTGGTCGATGCGGGCGGTTCGGGACGCTTGAAGCAATCCCGGGCAGTCTCTGGCGTCTTTGGTTGCAGTTGTTGCAGCTGTTGTTGTTGTATCAATTGTTGTTGTGCTAGCTGATTGCTGTTTGTCTCCGTCATGCTGAGGCAACGTCGCACCGATGGCCGCCTCATCATGATGGTGGGGGATTTGGGCGTCACTTTGATTTGTCCACTAATCAGTGAGTTGAGTCCACTGGGCAGATTGGAATTGTGCTGCTGATGTTGTTGTCCTTGTTCCTGCTGTTGTTGGTGCATGCCCGCAAAGGATTCCATTTCGAAGAGCTCCATGTAATCATCGTCCATGGAGGACTCCATGGAGCCTGCGGAGGATAGGCTATTGAAGATGCGAAAACTGCGAGAAGCAGTCGGAGCTGCTGTTGCTGCTGCTGGTGTTGTTGCAGTTGCATTTGTGGATGTTACAGCTTGTTGCTGTTGCAACTTTGTCTGTCGCACAATTTGGAAACGCTGCGGCGAACCCTCAGGCGATAGCAGACCCAACAGTTCCGGGCTAAGCGCACGCTCCTGGGGCAGGGCAAGCACATCGTCATCATTGTAGAAGGACAACTCCTCCTCAACATCAGCATCCATGGCATCCATGATGAGATTGTTGGAGGTCAGCGCACGACGAACGCGGCGATTTGAGCTGCTTTTGTTCAGACTGCTGGAGCTGCAAGGGAGAGCGAAAGAGAGAGGGAGAGTTGTGGATTAGTTGTTTACATTTGGTATAAATGTACCTATCAAAATGTTTTAATTTTTTTATAATCATATATTAATAATAAAATTAAATAATTAAATTAATAGTTTTTCGTTTGGTACATTTTAATTTCTTGGTTATATTTCTGACTAAATATCTTTAATTAAAACCTATGCAAAAATTGTGTATTTATTATAATTATTTCTTAATAAAATCATAATTGTCACAAATAAACGCATTTATAATTTTTTATAAATAGCAAACTTGATATAATTATTTAAAAAACGTATTAATGCGATTTTTGTAAGGCAAAAAATGTTACAAAATAACATTTGTATTTCTCAGTTTTCTGCCTGCTGCTGCTGGTGCTGGTTGCCTAAACTGTGGGTCATTAAACTCCCAGCTAAAAATATGCGACGGCGGCAGCGTTGGTGGTGGTGTACAAACAACAACAACAAAACTAACATAAGGAAGATGCGGAGGAGGAGGAAGACTGACGAGCTGAGGGGTAGTTTGCTGCGCTCAATTTCAGATATCTCTCGCACTCTCTCTCTCCCTCTCTCCTGCATGAAATGCTTGTAAATTGGGAATTTGAAATTAGAATGCTTCTTATTCTTCCACGTTTTATGTTTTGCGGTACTTTAAGCGGAATTCCCCTTTTGCATGTTCTGCTTGAACTGTTTTCGTTTTGCTCAGGGGGCCAAACAACAACAACAACAACAACTGCATCTGCACTCCTCGGACGAACGACGACGACTTTTGGGTCACGCAACGCAGAACAAAAACTGACAATACAGTTGCAAAGCTTCCTCTTCTTATTGTTGTTGTTGCTGTTCGAGCTGCGCAAACTTCGCGGAAGCCGGTTTAATGAATGAAAAAGCAGCAGCAACAACAACAGCTGAGCGCCACACACAATATAAAAAAAAGGTGCCGTGGAGCATGCAAAAAAATCCAAAAAAAAAGTGGGTAAGAAAAAATACTCTTACTTTTGTTGAACAGTAAGGTAAGCAGCAAGCAGCGCAGTCGACGCTTTGCTGTTTTGCTGTGTGTGCCGCTGTTCACAGTTGCTTTTGTGTTCTTTTTTTTGTTTGTTGTTGTTGCTGTTCAAGTTCAAGCACGTCGCTTTGTTGTTGTTAGTTTTACTTGCACTTTTATTTCATTTATTATAATTCGTATGTGTTTGCCTATTGCTCTGCCTACTCCACTTCCTTTTTCTATTTCTCTTTGTAATTTAATTACCTGATATTGCATTCCATGGTGCAGTTGTTCTCTTCGGCAATTGTTTCCCACAGCATTTTGTTGGTCGTTTTATTTTTAATTTATTTAACTATTTTGCAGAATGTTGTCCAGACTTAAAATTTTATTTTGTCGTTTTGGAAAATTGCTAAAACACAATTTTCGCACGTTTCTTTTGTTGGCGGCACATTTACAGTTAATTTTGTTCGTTCGATTTGTTTTCGTTTGTAGTCCTTGGTTGGATTTCTTGATGTTTTTCTTGTAGTTGTTGCATTTATGATAAATTGTTGTTAAAAACTAATATTGCATTTGTTGTTGCATATTTTTGGAGTCCGCTTTAACATTGTTGTGAGTTCTTTTTGTGGTGTATTATTTATAATTTTATATCCAATCGTTTTCAGCACACACAACACACACACAAATTGAATGCACAGGCTTACGAGAGCGAGTGGAGAGAGAGGCGCAGATGTTGACACGACGACGAACAGAATACAAATGTGAGGCTCGATGAGAGCGCAGCTGGTTTTTAAAGACCGCCGTCGACGTCGGTGCAACCCCCGCTGCTGCTGCTGCTGCTGTCGACGTCGCTGCTCTTTTGTGCGAGCAGCACCAACCAACCAAGGAGCAGGAGTCAAAGCAGGAATTGAGGAAAAGCGATTGCAGCAAGAGCGAGAGCCAAATCGGCAACGGCAGCGGGAGCGGGAGCGGGAGCTACATATGTATTGTACCATTTTCCATTTCCATTGCAAATAGCATAGACAAAAGTGGGATAGAAAAAGTGTCGAGGCAATCTGTGTGCAGTTAGTTGATGCCAGAGCAACAGGTAGATCTCACTGCTAAATTTCCCCTACCCGATGCACGGCCAAAACACGATTGAAGGCGCAAATTTTGGCGCGCGAGCTTTTATAGCGCGAAGCGCGTCGTTCAAACCGATGGCCGATTGGCAGGGGGGGGCCGAGTGGCAGGGGGGCCGAGTGGCAGGGGGGCCGAGTGGAGCCGAAGCGTAGCGAACGAACGAGCAAGCAAAAACACATGTGATTTACGTTGCAGCAGAATGGCTGGCTGGGAGCAGAGCAAAGAGCCTGCTAGCGACTTCGTCGAGCATCGTGCAAATCTTTAAAGTTGGAGACGAAGGCGAGGGCGAAGACGACGATGGCATCGGCATCGGCATCGATTGTGTCGTTCGCAGGTAATAATGTGAGATCCACGCATTCCACGACGCCTGCCCGCACACCTTCCCGCACGCCCGCTGCTCTGGTCATCAGCAGGTAGTCGTAGCCTCGCAGTCATATGATCAACACTGCTCTCTTTTGTGGGGATCGAGCGGGCCGTGGGGGACTTGGCTCTTTTGTGTTTTTTTGCAGACGTAGACGCCAATGTCGTTAAATGAGCAGCGCTGCTTATGTGTGTGTGTGTGCGTAAATGTGTGTGGGCAGTTGCGGCAAAGTTAAAGCAAAAATCGAGTTACATATGGCTGTCTGTGTGTGTGTGTATGTGGTGCAGTCCCTGCGGGAGTCGTGTCGTTCATGACAGGCGGAGCAGAGGGGGCGGCGCACCCTTGGGTATTGCAGTGCAAAAAAGAATTGGCAGATTCCACACATAAGAAAATCCAAGCAAAATGAAACGACTACATTTGGCGGCCACAACAATGCAACATCATTTACCCAATACAATGCGAATCATATGTTAGTTCGAATAAATGATCTCGGCTTGCATTGTTGGCCCAACCAAAAATTCGCTCAAAAGCTAAATGAGCTACGGTTTCATTCGCTTGAATTTGCTATTGGGCTTTTGTGCTGCTGCAGGAAGAGGATCATCTTTTAGAAAGAATGAACAACAAATACAACAAAAAGGACGCAGAAATCATAAAGTGGTTTTGAACAAGTTAAAAACATGCGGATAAAAAATAAACTAAAACTCATTCATACTGTTTCACAGTGGGCTGAGCATGAGCTTTTTTTAATTAATTTATTAAATGTCAAAAAAACTAAACAAAATTTAAAAAATTAATATTATAAATGAAATTTAATTTAAAAAACATAAGAAATGGCGTAAGCAAAAGGACATAATGTCATAAATGAATAGAGCTAATTTAAGTACTATTTAGTAACGCATATTATTTTGTCTTTAAATTCGAAATTCGTTGGATAATTAATTTCGCTGTAACGCTTGACGACTGCATTTGATTACCACTTGCATACTACGGTGCGGCGACAAAGACGAAGACTGAACACAAAAAGGGCAAGCCGAGAAATCAAAATGATATGCAAAAAAAATGTAAAAAAGCTCACTCACACACAAACGCGCATCGAGTGAATTTGATTGCGAGCAAAAGAATAGGCTGCATACTCACACATACACACACACACACCACAAACAAGCATTGAGACTATGAAATTGCAGCAACAACGTCAATGGGAATGGAGCACAACAATAGCAGCGGGAGCAGCAGCAGCAGCTTAAACAGCCAAAAACGAAGAAAAAAACTCAGAAGGAATGAACAACGTGAAGAACTAAATTGTAAATCGAAATTCCAAGAAGTGAGGTGTGAGATTTGGCTGTTTTTTTAAGCGCCTGACGACCGACGACGGCGACAAAAAAAAGTGTGCAAAAATTGTATAAAAACGTTTGAGATACTTTTACGCGCGCGCGCGAAAGCCAAAAGCTTCTTGCGCATAGCAGGCTGAGGTTGTACGTGATTGTGTGTTGGTGTTAGTCTCTTTGTGTGTGTGTGTTAGGGCGGTGCCGGGCAAGATGTGCATACAAACCAAGGCACCGTCGAAGAGTGTGTTTTGTTAGGGGAGGGGGAGAGGCGTACAATTAGTGTGCAATCAAATGCAGATAGAGGAATTTGATGGATAGGTAATTTATGAGCATTTAATACATTTGCATGCCGATAACTCTCATGCACGTGCGTACGTATGTGTGCGTGTGTGTATATGTGTGTGTATATGTGTGTGTATATAAGCACAGTGGTTCCCGATAAGCACGTTTCGGCTCAAAAGAAAATTAATCTAATAAAAATAAAAGTTAGTATTAAGTTTAGTATTTATATTATATAATAATAAATTTGTGCATATATTATTCTATATGGTCACAAATAAGCATTAAATTAATTCAACTCGAGAAACGTCAAAACTTATTTTTTCGATTATAATTTATAATTCATTTATATTTTTAATCATTATTTGTTATTAGTAGATTATACCAGTGTGCATTTTTGTTTAAGTGAATATTTGTATGACGCCCCCATTGGCAGGCAAAAGTAATCGGAATTTGAATTGGAGATTGACAAAGGTGTTGACAGGCAGGCTTTTCGCGCAAAAGGTATTTGAACTTCGCACAGAATTTGGGCTAATTCAACTCCGACATGTAGGGGAAATCAAGGCATGTACATTTGTACATAAGAAAGAAGCAGCACAACATAGCCAAATGCTGATCAGAAAGAATACACATAGAAGAAAAAAAACACACACACAGGCACACGCAGGACAAACAGTTAGAAAAGGATCGGTGCGGAGAATGAGGCTCGGTCCCGTTTCAGTTCTCATGCTCAATCCAGTTTTTCTTTTTCCTTCTGTCTGTACATACATATGTTCCAGTCAGCTGATCGGCGCGGAGCACGAAGGACATGCACAGAGCGTAGCAAGAAATTAGTCCTGCTGTTATTGTGGTATGTGTGTGTCACGAGCAGTGAGGGGAACGGGAACGAGGACAACGCGCGCGCAAAATTCCTTAACACGAGCCCAACAACAACAACAACAACAACGTTTGTGTGGAAGAAGGGTGGGGGGCAGGGGCGCTGAGATTTCTTGCAGTCCAAGATGTGTATGGTGAAGTAGAAGAAGTAGGTGAAGAGCATGTGAATGAGCGTGCGAAGAGGAAAACGCGTTTTGATTTTTGCGCCAAAATAAGGTTGTATGCAGTAGGATGTGTGTGTGCTTATGTGTGGAGGACTCCAGTGCAGACAGCAGCGATGCATGTATTTGTGTGTGTGTGTTTAGATACATGTGTATTTGTGTCTGGCTGTCTGCTGCTTGCCTGTTTATCTTTGAGATGCTTATGCTGCTGCTGCAGTCGCTGCTGTGATTTCTTGCAGCGCTTCTTTGTCGCTCCTCTGATTATGTGCATTGTTGTTGTTTTTGTTAGTAGTAGTGTCTTTTTTTTTTGTTGCCTTCGCTTTGGCCAGCGCCGCGTTTTGTTGTTGTTGTTGCCTTCGCCGAGTTCTTGATTCTCCTTGTGAGAGCGCGTTGTCTACAAACGGATTGTGAGAAATATTTTTCTCGTTACTTGACTTTTTGCTGCGCTGCGTTGTGCGTGTTCCTTCGTCTCTCTCTCTCTGTCTGTCTGTCTTTCTGTCTGTCTCTCGGTCCATTGGCGACCACCCGTTTCCAGAACACAGTCAGAATTCATGGTGCCCCTTTGCCCGCATTTATGATCCACTTCCATTCACATCCACATCCACACACACAACACACACTCAGCCCACTAATTGATTCTCTGCATAAATTTTATTTAAAGCTTTAATAAATGTCAAAATAAGCAATTCATTTCGATGTTAGAGAACGCATTCATTCATACTCACACTCATACGAATACTCATACTCACACGACCATTCACAGAACAACATTCACCAAATGAAGCTTTCACTGCGGCAATCAATTACCGGGTTCAGAGTTTAAATGTGCCGCTGTCGAAGTTGTGTGCTCCAAAAAGCAAAGGCAACGGCAAAGCAATTCACTATACTACATATATATTCTATATATACCCGACACCCACAGAGATCTGGTGTCCCGTGACAAAGCCTGCATATTCATTGTGGGAGGTGTATTCCATGTACATAGATTTATAACTTGCTCAATTTGGGTTATCTGAAATCTTTTGATTAATTCGTCATTGGAAATGAGTTAATTGTTTTGGGCAACTCAAGTTCAACATGAAGTCACAAATTGGGCAGAGATAAATAAATGTATATAGTATAAATTATATTGCATAATAGAATGACCGTTATCTTTGTCTCAGTATTGTAAACATTGACATTTTATTATATTATAATTAAGTTGTAGAGATATATATTTTTTTCAGAGCAGATTTACGATTTTATTTGCCTGTTGCTGTG